TACGGATAATCCGGAATACAATTTATGGAGGTGTTATTATTCCGGGATCTCTGCTTCGCAAAATCTGTCATGTTATTTCCGCATATAGGTATTTGTAAACATAAACTTTGGCAGGGTAAGCATCGAACCCGTGACATGATTTTTTGCGGGAAAGGGTTTGGGTTACTGTATAAGAATCCACGAGGCCATGATCCGTCCATTTCAAAATCAGCGGCCACCCAGACAGACCAACACTCTCAAGATGGAGAAGCCGTTCAAGCAAATTTGGAGAGAGCTGACCAAAAAAGGTTGGAAATCCAGACGGCCGAAGGGATTGAGCGTCGACTACACCTACGTACCATTCGAGGGAGATGCAAAGGGCGTTGAAGGTGTCGACTACTTCGTTGGTACGCTACCGACTTGTATTGCTGCGTTGAAAGTGCCTAACTGTTGCTGTGTATACAAAGGTGAAGTGAGTCTACTACGCTACTGCCGAAGCCAAGGATGGCTGGAGCTACCTCCTCTACCAGCTTCAGTGCTTCCTCTCCAGACAGCAGCTTCTCTGGAAAGTGAACTACTGACTACTGTCCCCAACACAGGAGCCGGATTGGTGACTAATCATGAAGCGACTGTTGCTACTTCTACGGTAACCCCCCCCCCAGGCCCAGACAAACCAACTGCTGCCGAGAATGATATCTCTAATTCCGGGAAGACCTCAAATGGCAAACGGAAGGCTAGCTCGACAGGAAGCAATGCATCGAGCAAGCGGCGCCGGACTGGTATGTAATCGCTGTCCTGGTCTGTCTGTTTGCTGCTAACGTATTGACGTATTACGGATTATACAGACAGCACTGTTCCGGAGAGTAATGCTCCTGTTCCGGATAACACCGTACACACTATTCCGGATATGACTGGGGCTCTTCAGGATAATGCCTCACGTGCTGTTTCGGATGGATTCGTTGATACTGCTCAATGCTCAAACGATCACTGTGAACGCCCAACTCCTGCCATTACCCTCGATGACTTTGACTCGGATGATTTCTTGGCTGCTCTTCGTCGAGACAGTCTCTTTGACAAAACCAATGATGAAGAACTCTACTTGGAGGAAGGAGACTGGTTGCTATCTCTCGACTCTGATACCTAAGAATATGAAGATAGCATTTTGTTGGACAAGGACATGTGTGATGTCGATGACGAAGCGTCAACCGGATCTTACGAGGACGATGAACTAGACGATGATGTGAACTTTGGTTTGGGTAAGGAAGTCTTGGATGATCTGCAACGTGCTGGATGGGACACGTACGATGAACACACAAATGGTCAGCTACGTTTCGATGCTTCGCCGATGTATGAAGGGCCCTTTGGACCTACCAAAGCTGCGCTAGCGTATGCAGATAGCCCCCTGGCAATGTTTTTCTTCTTTCTTCCGAAAGAATTGTGGAGGAAGATTGAAGAGGAGACGAACAAGTTTCGAGATGAGTGTGTCGAAGAGGTAGCGCTGTCGATGCGTGAACGTGCACGTCTGCGCCGTGAGAAGGCTCCGTCCACTGTAGTGCTGTCAGTGGAGGAGTATAGAACCAAGCTACAACGCAAAACCGCCATCCAACCCCATGAGCTCATTCGGTTCATAGGCTTGTTGATCGCCCGTTCACTGGAGCCACGTCGGGAGAGCCTAAGCCGCCATTGGATAACGAAAGTGGAAGGTGCTCTATGTGGAGGGACGTTTGGTCAATTTCTCAGTCGTGATCGCTTTGAAGAGATCACACGGTACATACACTTCAACGACAACTCGCAACAAGCTACCAGCAACGATCGGGCATTCAAGATCCGGCCTGTGATCCAAGCGCTCCAGAAGACGTTTTTCCGCGGGTATCGTTTAGGAGCCAAGATCGCGTTCGATGAGGGCATGATCCCCATGAGGCACAGACGAAACCCCATGCGCCAATACATGTCTGCTAAACCGAACAAATGGGGGACGAAGTTTTACTTGACGTGTTGCGCTGAGACTGCGTACTGTTCAAGGTAAGTTGCTTCATCTTCCGTTTCGTAATATGCTCAGGATGTTACTGAACATATTACGGATTCGAACTAATAACGGATAATACTGACTATGTAATGGATGGTGCGTTGTAGGTTGGATATCTATTGTGGGAAGGCCAACAAAAACGAGAAGAATGTCGCTCAAAAAGCAGTTATCAAGAATCTGACCGAGGCGTTGCGAGGTCAGCCATCTCGGCGCTTGATTTGCACGGATAACTTCTACACATCTGTCCCGCTTTCGGACATATTGCTCTCGATGGGATTCTACCATGTGGGCACTATGCGTCGAGACCGGCTGGGGTGGTGCAAGCAGATTGAGCTCACGCAGAAGACAAGACCAAAGAGTATGCAGAGAGGAACCTACCGTATTGCTCAGTGGCGAAACCGGCCTGAAATCGTGGCGTGTGTGTGGATGGACAACCAACTTGTACGCTTTCTAGCTACTGGATGCTCGACGCAACCTGATAAAGTTTCTCGGCGGGAACCGGATGGCTCTATCACAATGGTACCATGCCCGCGCTTAGTCGTGGACTACCACGAAACGATGGGTGGAGTGGAAGTCCACGACCAGTTGCGCTTGCAACGTTACTCAATCCAGCGGTCGGTTCGAATGCGAAAATATTACAAGACTATATATTTAGGCCTTGTTGACCTTGCTTTGGTAAACGCGTTCGTCGTGCACAAAATCGCCAAGCAGCGCCAAGGGAAATCCGTACCAGCACACGCTGAGTTCATGCGGCGGCTACACGCTGACCTTCTGTCGCAAACCCGTGAAGATTTTCTTCCAGAAAACAACGGCGAAGAGCTGTTAGCTGCTCCGGTGCCAAGGCAGCCACACGCCCTGCAGCAGAAGAACGGGCAAAAGAGTAGGCAGTGGCTGTGTAAGGTGTGCTCCGCGTTGGCAGGACCGGGAGTTCGGAGCTATGAGAGCAGCTACTTCTGCCGGACCTGTTCGCTTTCCAAGAAGGGCCGTGTAACCCTGTGCAACAAGGCGCGACGGCTGGAGCAGGGCAGTGAGCTTACGTGTAGCCAGGTGTGGCACCAAACGTGGCGCAACGGTACTGCCGTCCCTCCCGAGCTGCAGCACAAGATTCGCTTCGTAGCGAAGCGCCGCGTGGACGACGGCAACACCGACGAGGATTTTTTGTAGGATTGAATGAAAGTGTGTTGGCTCCATGAATGATTGTCATTTTGGCGCGAAATTCGTTTGCCCATCCGGTAACTATCTGAACATTTTTGCAGGGTTATATTAATTCAGAGAATTTTGTGCGCTCTTTGTTCACATGCCGTTTTTGTAACAGCGTTCTCAGCCAATCGTAAGCTCTCACTTGATGACGTGTCCCTGCTATTGGCTTTCAAAAAGATATTTAGTACTGATTTTTCCGTATACGTTAATTCATGTGCTAATTAATACGGATAATCCGGAACAATTTTCGGGGTAGAGGGGTTAAAGCTATGTTATTCTAAATGATCTCTTAAGTACGAAAATTTGAAGCACGACTGATTTGAGTGAAGGGTGTTTTAAAACATTTTTAGAAAGCCTTGCGTATCGCATGTTCTCTGATGCAAATTATAGCCGCACCCTCAAATTTGGCAGTTAGCTTAGGTGGTGAGCAAAGAGGACTTAGTTAGTACTGCAACTTTAAGTCAGAATACCAATGTATATAATGCGTAAGCACTATATATTTTGCACAAAAATAAATTTATTTTGAAACTAGACAAAAAGATCGATATGTACTGGTGCAAAATTATAGCCGCACTCGTAGCTACAGCAGCTAATAGCTAATTGGAGACCCACGACAAAGCAATACCTGAACGACGCGAGTAGGCATGCCTTTGACAAGTGTTCTTGGTCAATTTCATTCCAACATTTGAGGATACACTGCTTTAATTTGGCTGTTGTGTCGAATTGGCGTCCTCCAGCGTCACACGACGGGCTAGCACCCCAAAATATTTTCAATGATGTTTAAATCTGGGCTTTGAGCTGGCCAAGACATTGTAATAACTCCTTGATCTTGAAGAAAGTCCTTGGTCCGACGGGTAGAGTGGATGGACGCGTTATCATGCTGAAATATGGGTCGAGAAACCCCATGATGTGAGCGAAGGTTTTCGAAGTAGGGAAGTAGGTTTTCTTGAAGAGGCTTGACGTAGTCTATAGAGCTTTGACGACCCTCCAAAACCACTAGGTTTGTTTTACCATGCCAAGCTAGCCCCTGCCGTCATCACGCTTCCTCCACCAATTACTCGTCTTGAGTACAGCTCGAGGTCTTGACGAACAGTAAGCCAAAATTTTACCCTTCGCTTCATCAGATAGAAGTTTGCCTCTCGGCATGCTTACGTGGATCGTAATGGCGACAAAGTGTAGACGCACGTCATAAACGTGAGGTATCCATTACTGCAGAAATAGACGTATAGTTCTGAAGAAAGTTGAAAATAGACCAGTGCGGCAATGATTTTGCACCAGTACATCACAAGCCCAACTGCCTACAATTAGAACCTTAAAAACTCTACAGGCCGCACGTAGACGGCTGTTGACGTACAAATAAGTATTATAATAAACGAGCAAACGTAGGTGCGGCTATAACTTTGCACCAGACTGTACTACATGTAGCAATCACATCCATTCTGTTGGCCAGATACACCACCACCCCGTCCTAATGTATCACCCGTCAGCTGTGCCATCCGAGGATACGCTCATTTCGCTGGTGACGAAAGTCTCGCGAGCAACCGGTTGGACAATTTGTTTGTATACGAATTGATGACAAGCAGCTTCGAGCGTGTCCAAGCGAGTAGCTTTCATCAAACACTTGACACAGAGCGCCACCTTCCGCTGAGTGAGCTCCAGATCGAGTGAGATAAAACTTAGCTTCTTGTGCACTTTGCACAAGCCACACACCGCTTTAAGACACAACTTGCAAGTGCTGTCAGACTTGCCGATTCTTAATTTCGGTTTCTTTGCTCCAGCAGCCAAGCGAGCTTCTTCATCTGGCCGCAGTACGAGTACTTCACGCCTGCCATCGTGGCTTGGACCATCCCCATCATAGCCACCATCCGGATCATATCACCCTTCGGGTCCATGATACCTGTGCCACGGCAGTCTGTGCGATCAGGACCTTCTTGACGAAAGATAGCACACAACGACATGTTCCCACGCACTCGAGAAGGCAACTCATGCGTCTGTGGGAAATTCACGGAGTGCATCAAGTGGAAACCAACGCGATCGCCGTTTCTGAGACTCGTGAGGCCTGTGCTTTCAACGTAAACATAGTCGCGGTTGCGTACAGCTCCAATCGACGCTCCAGGGATGTCGATCTCCATCCATTTTACGACAGTGGACAGGAAAGGCTCGTCCACCGTTGGCTCTACAACTGTCGCCAGCACAGCCGCTGCGCTGAAGTCATTCAGGTATGACGCTTTTATCCTCATCGCTTCTAGCGTCGGATTGACGAGACCAAACATGTTCTCGTCTAGCGTCCCGGATAGTGGGGCAGTCATAAGAAGCTCATGCAAATTGGAGTCCGGATTCGAGTTCTTTCGCTCGATGTACGTCGTCGCGGCGCCCGAGGAGGAGAACCTCTTCCAGCGCACGAGGTCGATCGTCTTTGCAATATTAATATACTCTTCATACTCTTCAAGCTTGGCATGGACCAGAGTGTTCGCGATATTCACGAGCTTCGCGCGGTCTTCGGACGTGAGTGTCAACTCTCCGAAAGGATTGACGGTGAAGCGTTTATTGCTCATTTCGGTGCGCTTGACGTCACCGCGCAGGTTGCGGAATGAGCTGTGTACAGTATCATTGGCGACACTGCCACGCCAGACTCTGGCCCAGAGAGAGAGAGATGCAAATCGCGCGGTGGTGCCCAATCCATTTTCTAGTAAACCAACAAGACAACTCGGCAGAGACTACGTACACCGTTTTTTTTCTTGACTGTGTACCTGGTGCACCGTTTCGAGCCGTCTTACACAGTTTGAGCTCATAACCGGGTCAAGTGACTGGAAAGTCAACGTTGGTGCCGCCATCTGATTATCAGTTTTTCATGCATAAGCAAGTCGATTTTGGACGAAGTCGGTGCGGCTTCGTGTAGAATAGAAACACCTTACAGGAGTGAATGTCGGTGTCAAGTGAGATTTATGAACTAAAAGTCATTTCCTCTAAGTCTTGATGATGTTTGTTCCCAAGTCGAAAAGGTGCTCGCCCCGTGCCAGTTTGCTGACGTATTTTATTATGAAGGCGACTCAATTTGTAAAAGAAAGCATGCTTACATAGCAGTTATTATCTGGCTAAGATATCGGTAGCGATAGAACTGCATCGCAGGACTAATTTTTCCCTCGAGATCACTTGGCGCGAAGTCATATCCGAGAATACACAGCTCAAAAACATTAGAACGACGACACCGCAGTTGTAGCTATCCAGTTGCGTGAGCCACTAACATCGCGTGAATCGAAATCGCTTCGGAGACTCCAGTTGAGGTAACCGAGGAAGCAATTCACTCTTCAAGTACGCTCGAAGTTGCTTGAACCTATCTCCAGCTTGCTGGGGATCGTAAACCTTTACCTCATTGGAATTAAAATCCACAGTCACAGCGCACCAGTGATTAAGCCCATAGTTTATCGCCGCGAAAAAAAGGAGTCTATCCTTGTCGAGATCCATACTGGTTCTGGCATTTTCAAGGTCTTTCCAGACTGCTTGATGTTTTATAGATTCGACGTCGAAATTGGGGAAGCGAAGCACGTCGGCAGGAATACTAAAAACAATAATTTGTCGCTATTGCGCTTCACGATTGCTTTCACCGCGGTATCGAGACAAGGCCCTTCGATCATTGTTTTCCCACACAGCGATGTAGCCCAGAAAAAATCGCCAAGCACGTCCACGATCTTCAGTCCCTCACAAATATCGCCTTTTTCTAGTATTCCTTCAGCCCACAAAGCTTCACGTGGTTGCCATTGAGAATTATCAAAATCTTCCACCCATTTTATGGCTTCATCAATGATATCAAAGTGCGAGACTGCTGTATGCCACGACCGCATTGCTTTGAGCGTTTTCACATCATACGCGGTTCTTCCTGTCACCACGGTTACATCCTGTTGCGATATTCGATGTTCATGGTCGCTGAACCAACGATTCTGGAATAGGGCTACTTGAACTTTACACGCATCAATTCTTTGCCTTGGTAGCACAGTCATCACATTTTTTGTGGGGGTTGGCTGCTTTTTTTCCCGGTGAATCACCGTAATTTTTGCTCGCTTCGTTTGAATAATTGAAAGTGCTCGCATCGCAGGTGCGAATTTATATGCGGCCCCATTTGTAACAGCCTCTTCCAATATTGACAGCGAAGGTGTATCTCCATTAGCCACGGCGTCCACTAGACGATTCGTCTGACAAAGCTCTTCAAGTGTCTCCTTCTTTCGCTCTGCTCTTTTTATCTTTGGACGTCCCGACTTCTTTGCTGTTTTAGACACCTTCCAGCTTAGTTTTACACTCTCCGGTTTAGATGGATCATTATCTGGAAATGACACAGTTCGCTTCATGAATACATCATCGTTTTCTGACTGCTCCGGGAGGGTTCACAGCTTCACACAGCGTTTTGGATTGGAATAGATGATATGGCGGCACGGCGATAGTCTTGTAACACGAAAAATACACGAACATGTCCAGCCGCTGGGATTCATCATGTATTCGTCTAGCACGTTGTCTTCTTTTCCAGCAGAATATTGCATCATCACATACGGCCCCATGGGATAGTGTCGGTATTCAGTTGTCGGGAGGCGTGCGAAGTCGTACTGCTGCTTCACAAGCTCCACTGTGTGTCGAGACACGGTGTTGAGCAGTAAGTTCATCTCTGCATCGTATTCCACGTTCATATACACACCGATGCGCTTGACATTTCGGGCCCCCATCTTCTCATTTACTGTCTGCCAAAACAGAATGGAAACTACACAGTCATCCAAGGCAGTAGACCTATTGACGAGGGTCTTCAACTTCTGCCAGCTAGATTCCAGTCTATATATATATATATTGATAACAGTTAGTATCAGCAACAGTTCACAGGTAAATCAAAAGCTGACCTATTATTCGTTTGGTTTCCCATATGAGGAGTGTTGCCACGAAATATTGAGCTCCATTTCTCATTACAGGACGTCCAATTGGCATCGAAGTATTTGAACCAGAGCATGACCTTCTCATCCACCCGCAGTACCACTTTCATTGTGGAAATGATTTATCGTACGCTGTCTCGGTCGGCGCGCTGACCACCAGTTGGATTAGTCTCTTCATCTCTTTCTTGGTCCACGCGTCGAGGTTGTACGCATCTTTTGGGACCTCTTCCTGCAGAGCCTTGACTGCATGGAAATGGCAGATTAAGATCCTGACCCCAGGAAACTCCTCCTCTAACAGTGGCAGCTCCGTAAAGTCCTTGTCGATAATGATGACTGCCACCACATCATAGGATGAATTGCACTCCTTGAACTGACTACAGGCAAGCCGAAGAGTCTCTTTCCTCTCGTTTTCGACTAGGCAGTGCTACAAAATAAAAAAAGCGTTTAATAAAAATAATACTAAAGTAAGTATCAATGTTATCGTAAGCCACAGTCCCAGCATCGCACACAATCTTAGACGGTGGACCTGTCTCTGCGTAATTGCACAACCCACCTGTACATGTTGGCCCTTGCCCATGACATCATGAATCATGAAACTAAACAGTTTGTAGTTGGAGGAGTTGGTATCGTGGGTCGCGTCAATCAGCAACACTTCTGAAAAGTGTCCGAGCATGGCTCGCATGTGCACAGACTGGATGGATATACACTGTGCGACGCTCTTGGCTCATTACAAAACCTTCGAGGTTAGCGGACGTAAAACAGAGTTAGAAGACGTAGCACGTACCTCTTCGTTTAAGTAGATCCTTGCAACATTCCCACTCTGCGAAGAAAAATCCTCTAGGATGGATTGAATACGCTCCCCAATCGTTGGAAACGCGTAGCTTTCTTGCTGAAGTCGAGCTACCAGGTTGTGCACATCGTTCATCGAAGGTTCCACGGTACTATTCTCTGTTATGTATTCGAGAATACGCTTTCGACTGGCTCCAGCTCTGTGAAGCGTTCGAATAGTAGATATCACCCCACCCTCAGAGACATTGCGTGCTTCGTGGTAGGTCTGATAGATCTCGTGGCTGATGTCGTGGTTGTGCCCGGTTTTCTGTCCGGTGATGCAAACCTCCCAATTCCCAGTTTCTCGTACACATGCGTTAATCTAACCGCGAAACAAATCAGTTACAGTTATTTTTCACCTCGAAGACTTCACATACCTGGGCAGGACACCCGATGTTTCTTGAATGTTGGTTAGGGCGCGAACCTTGACCTCTGTTAGACCGTGGCTTTCTAGAATGTGTACACACGTAGGTCTTGTTGTAGAACTGCACTTCTTCTGGCAGAATGGTGCCTGGGGTTTTGCTCTTGCTGATTCTTTGGTTTCTTGTGCGAACGGGTGTATTTGTTCGAACAGAAAATATCTATCACACAACATAAATACAGAATCAGCATCAATCGACAAGAATACAATGATAAGCATTGTAATAATGTGATACAGTCTCAGACGGTGCCACAACTTGAGATTGGCACACCAACCTGGTATGTTCGGCGACCGTAGTTCCGTAAGTACGCCTCCAGTGTCTTCCAGTCATCGAACATCTTCACGTCAATCTTCGAAACGTACCGAATCATCCCGAGCGACGATACCACCATCCCCAGAGCCATGATTCGGAACGGTAGCGTTGTTTCCGCTGGTAGTGTCCGAATCAGACACACCGGAGGATTCAGAGCTGTCATTGGTGTTGATAGCGTCAGATCCAGATACGTCCGAAGACATTCCACGGCTGTGTGAGCGAGAGCGCCTCTTCCTATGGTCACGTTTTCGGCGTTTAGGCAGCTTACCCCAACTTCGGGTGCTCGGTCGTTTCTTCTTGCGCGTCGGGGCTCGCTGGCGTAGCGATGATCTAGAAGTTTCGGCAGCACTGTCACTATCGTTACTACTGGAAGCCTCACTTCCGGATGCTTCATCGCTCCGTTTTGGCGCGCGGGCGTGTCTGCGCGGCATTCCGGAGGCTAAACCCAAGCCACGTGCTCGCTGTGTGGACTGAATTTGAAATGGACGGAGGGACTCCCTCCGTCCCTCAGGGAGGGGGTCGCCGGTCAGAGTGATGGTCATGGAATGGCTCAGTCCATCTGGTCGGGGAAGGGGGACTTTCTTCGTTAAAAAAACGGTGTACGCAGCCATTCTCAAGACAACTTGACTGTACAGCTGCGTCAGACGAAGTCCCAGTTGAGACTTTCGCCGTGAGATTTGAGATAGGCAATACCGTTCGAATGAAGTACAGTTCTACACTCGTGGTTAATTTTTGCCCGAGCATCCATCAGCATGAAGTTCTTGAGTACAGTATTAGAAGCCTACGCTATTTTATTAATAGTTGCTCGAGACCAGTATGTAGATATTGTGCAAGTTTCGAAAACTACGAGCATGATTGCCATCAACTTTCTCGTCAATTTAAAATCACAGTCGAGCGGTTTTGTTATCGCTGTTATTCACAAAGCTGCAACAAGACCTCTGACGGCGGAATCGTGTGTCTTCACGTCAACTCTGCTGCAGAGTCTCAGTCCAACATTTACAGGTGTACATGCACTAATATCGGATCACCAACATTTTAAAGATCCGAATGCAGAGCGAAAAAAAACACACAACTACGCTCAAATTCTTATAAATGAAATCAAGTGACGAAAACGGAAGCACGCTCGGCAACTACATGTAGGAGTACGACAAGATCGTGCTATCAGAGCGTGTACTCTCATCCGAAAACCGCCCCGACGACCCATAGACGCTCGACGTGACGGTGTGCTTGTACACGAATTGCACACGTGCAGCTTCCTCCGTATCCATGTGGGTCGCTTCAAGCAGACACTTGGCACAGAACGTCACCTTGCGCTGCACCATCTCCAGGTCGGGGGCGATGAAGCTCCGTTTCTTGGGGATCTTACACTTTACACATATGGCACCGAAGCACAACTTGCACTTACTATTTGACCTACCGAACGTACGCTCTTTGACCTTCTTGTGGCAGGTCACACACTCAGGTTTGAAGGCCGAAGTGCCATGTTCTCTGGCTTCTGCATGCTTCTGCTCCAGGAGCCACGCGAGTTTCTTCATCTGACCGCAATACGAATAATTGAGACCAGCCATCGTTGCTTGAGCCATGCCCATAATGCCAAGAGCACGGATCATATCGCCTCCAGGGTCCATGACGCCGGTACCGCGGCAGTCGGTCTTGTCCGGGGCTTCTTGGTGGAACATCCCGCAGAACGACCTGTTGCCACGCACACGGTTCGGGAGCTCGTGTGTCTGTGGGAAGTTCACCGAGTGCAACAAGTGGTAACCCACCCGCTCACCGTTTTCTAGACGCATGATGCCCGTGCTCTCGAGGTAAATGTAGTCTCGATTCCGAACAAAGCCGATAGACGCGCCAGGGATGTCGATCTCCATCCACTTGACCACAACCGAACGGAGCGGCTCTTCTACGGTCGGTTCCACGATCGTTGCTAGCACTGCAGCAGCGTTAAAGTCTTTGAGGTACGACGATTTGATCCGCATCGACTCGAGCGTCGGGCTCACGAGTCCGAACATGTTTTCGTCGAGGGAACCGGGCAACGGACCGACCATAAGCAGCGCCGGCAACTTGGACTCCGGGTTGGACTTCTTGCGCTCTAGGTACATCATCGTGCTGCCATCCTTCTGGTATTTCTTCCAGCGAGTCTGGTAGATGTATTTCTGGTTGTTAATGTGTTCTTGGTACTCTGCGAACTTGGCGGCCACCAGCTCTTGGGCGATTTCTATGAGCTGCTCTCGGTCTTCGATGGTCAAAACTAAGTCCGGGAACGGGTTGACAGTGAAGCGACTACCGCCTGCCAATGGCAGGCTGCCATGGGTGACCCGCCTAGATGTTCCTAAGTGAGACCGTGAACGAGCCGACGTTTCCTGTCAGGACGCAGATTTCACACTGAAGCGCGTGCACTGCTCGTACGCCAGCGCATGTTCGGGAAGAAGGGGAGGTCCATTCCATCCGACGTGTCTTCAATAAAGACTCCTCATCGTGGAGGCACCATCGTTGGGACGCGTGCTATAGTAAATATCAGTTCTATTTGATGACAAAGTGTCAGAGCAAGGCGAGTCTGCCGCACGACCCCCCGCAGAAATGCCCATGCGGTGAAGAAACTAGTCACTACCGTGGTCATCTGCCCAACAGAAACATGTCGATCGGGTAAATCCGTTGCGTAGTCAATTGTTCGAGGTGCTGGTACCGGTACATGTCGGTATAAAATGTAGTCCATACTTGTACTAAAGAAATACCCGCCGACAGGAATAAAGTAAATGTATCGGTTTCCGGGGTTTAGTCTAAAATAATATTATTATATGCCTCTCTCTCGTAATTTGGAATACAGACTTTCCAAAAATGACTGTTCTGAGGTGCTTAACTATTAAAAAATGTCACGGCTGTGCATCATGTCCGAAGTAGGCAAGCAATGACCATGCTGCTTGCACTCTCCTTCCTCATTAGGTCGCATGTAGGTGCGACAGCGTAGCAGCTTCGTCGATTACGGGGTCTTTCTCGTCTGGCTCACTGTATTCACACGCATAGTAATCGAGTTGACCCATGTGTCTCCAGCACTTAGCAAATATCGAGGGTGACGTAGAATTCCAGCAGTCGAGTCACCTTGTAAAACCTGGTCGCTTTCGACATCACTTGGTCGGCTTTAAGACGATTAAGAGCGTGCTGGATCTGGCGACGCTGGTAACGCTGCTTAAATGCAGCAATTATTCCAGCGTCAAGAGGCTGGCGCTTACTGGTAGTATTTGGGTGGCATTTGATAGCATGATGCTGGCAAAATTGCAAGCTAAGCATTGGTGAGCACGATGCGGGCTGACTTAGCTTCGCTATGCCGCTAGTTTTAAAAATTGGAGACAAGGAATAAAATGGATTGGCTTCTGTAAATGTACCATTTTGAAGGTACGCCAGGCTGCAACAATACCTTAGCTAGGAATAAATTGTTGGCTCGCGGCGGGTTAGCTACAGAAAGATTCATCTGTATTGTGCTTCGCAATCTGCGAATCGCAGATGGAATGTCCATCCGTCTGTAGATCGAGCATGGTCAGAATAATAAATCCAGGCATAAAAATGAGATGGGAAGAGGCAGACATCGATTTGTTTTATTTGTGATTGAATAACCTTTTCAAAAAGGGTCTTTACAGATAATCAATGAGTCTCCATGGTAGCCCTACTTTAAGGAATATCTGTCATATCCGACACTTCGCACTTAAACTGAAGCACGGTACCCTCCTAACAAACTCTAAGGCATGTTTGTCCTTTTCGCTAATTCTAGGTAAAATCCGTCGTCTTTAATCCTTTTTTCTAGGACAAAATATGTTGGGTTAAAGGCGAGTATCTCGATAACTCTTAATGGTGGATAAGTGTCATTTTGTACGTCGTAGTATAATATACAGGGCTCCCGATAATGGCATTAATAATCAGCTTAAATTTCGAGGCTCCCATACATTATGCATTTGAATTTGAGATACCCGTCCACACATAATGGTCATTAATGAAAACCACATATGTGATGACCTTTACAACGAAAACTAGTATTAAAGTGTGAAGCAATACATTTTCTTCCCATACATTATGCATTTTCAACCGCGCTCGAGCTCCCATACATCATGCATAAAATAAATGTACATTAATTTATGTAATCATGCATTAATCGGGAGCCCTGGTAATATATGACGTTAGAGAGCGAATGCCATGAGAATGCAAATCTCCAAATTTTGTCGAACATAATTTGTAAAAAGCCATGAGCTTAATTGTGATTTGGTCCAAGAATCAAGGATAAAACACAGAAATGATCTGTTATTAGTGACAAACTCGAGTGTCCATTCTCGTACAACGGTAGACATCATAATAAGCATATCGTTTATATAAGTCGTAAGTGGCTTTATCTCCATGGAAGCAAGAGCGTGTCAGTGTTGGTTTTGCTGCCAAGCCAAGACTCTAGCTTTTGGTCCCTTTTTGCCCTTAGATGTCAGGGTGCTGGGGCTAAAGTAGACCGTTATTTTTTCGTATTTAAAAGTCTGATAAACCGAAAGCTCGAATTCGACAAACGAGCAAGGCCCAGTTAGCATGGCAGCCTATAGCCTGAGCCTCCCCCATCAAACTGCTGGGCACGAGCCGCTTCCATCCCACTGCAGTCAATCCTGGATGGATATGGCGCCCGCAGAGATCGCTCCGCGAGGGTCACACCGACAAGCTCGCTCAGCTCGGACACCTTAAAAAGAACTCGTGCGACAGGGCTTTGGTCATATTCGAAAATATGTAGCGTTGTCACAGCTGTTATGGAATTAGCCGTTTTTAGCCTGCCGTCACATTTTACGTGATTATGCTTTTTTCGAGGGTTTCAATTGTTACCGAGCTGTACCCGAATTTATTTGGCGTGGAGCAGCTCCAGTAATTCGAGATGAACGCGTCGAAGCCGGGCGTCGTGATGTGTAGGAAGACTTCAAATTGCAGACCAAGAACACAACTTTTACGTCGAAAGGTTGACAGAGTGTGGACAGACCGGCTCAAAGTGACTTGTATATTCGAGCACTTCCTCGAGCCGCTGTCACCGCCCAATTTGAATGCTGAAAGGATGTACATGATACACGACACCGTACGTATCTGATGGGTTTCGCGAAGATGCAATATATTCAGAACCTATATATCCAACAGCAAGGTGATGATGCAAAAACAGCCAAACAGTCTCGTCGAGCTCATCGAACTGAAATGGCGGTCGCCGCAAAGTCAAACCCGAATTGTCATGGCGGAAGCGACAGTGAAAGCTAAGATCTTCCAGGCAAAACGAAGAAACGCGAGGCTGTGCACCCTTTCTAACACGGTACGTAGAGTACATTAAACGCACTGGAAACAGGTTTTGTGATTGAATTATTAGCACAGGGGCACGTGATTAAGTAAGAACACGAACAGCGTAGGGACACTGACTCAAATTATGCACACGATGGGATAGAAGAAGAACACGAAGCCCGGAAGGTCACGGACGGTAAAAGAGGACTGAATCAATGAAGGAACCTAAAGCACGAGCTACGGACGAGCCCGTTACCATTAAAGCTTGGAAGGACAAGAACATGACAGGAGTGTACGGACCACAAATGAGGATGACATCCCAGCATGCTGAAAATCACCACTTACGCAGGAGCACGCAGGTGCGAGGCTACGAAAGAGCACGTAGCTGTGAGAGTACACGGAAGAGAATTTTGGCACCACAGGAGAGCGAGGATCACTGTCGACAGACCAAATGTGAAATCTCGGGAGACTATAAACGGGAGATCAGCCAACATTGGAACACGATACCAGGGTAGAACCTGAGCACATCGGGCCACGGAGCGCGATACTACGACAGAAGACTATAGCACATACAACAGACCAACCGTGACACCACGATATAAGACGATTACATGGACGGTGGCCCAATCATTAAACGTTGGGAGAGTACGCAGCCACGGGAGCTATAGACGAGAAATCACTGAGCCATGGAGCACGACACCAGTGTAGAGCACGGTAACACGGGCAACACGGATACATTATGCGAGTACGGTAGCATAGCCAGCAGAACCACACCGCGACTACAGAGAAAACCCTTGGGGACACGGGATAGCTAGCAGCCACGAAAGGGAGTCGTACAGCGGATCAGCGCGAAACCAAAACAAAACCAACACGTAACTACTACGCAGCATGAGTCTCGGGTGATTATAGAACCACGAAGTCAGGAAGAGATCGACGAATACCATTAGTACGGAGCAACAGAAACTTACGAAACTACCGGGATCGTCCGTCGCCACATGAGACTATGAAATGGTAAGCAAGTACACGAAATCACGACGTACTGGGGTGGACGAAGGCACACGCAACCGGAAAGTACAGGATCCTAAGCGAAAGGACACGATGCATTGCATTACTTAAGATTGCGGCCACCTCATCAACAAACCATGCCATTCCACCGCGTAGCGGCGGCAAACGGTCACTGCACATGTGAAATTCCCACTTAAGTACGAAGTCACAAAAACTCATTTTGTGATGCTAACATCGATCTTCTAAATAATACGGTACATGTACCGTATTACTGCTAGCTAGGTTATTAATTCTTTGAGGCAATACTGTAAGCAGCATTGCTGCTGCTGCAACAGCAGTGCAGCCTGCAACAACGGGACAATGTCAGCAGGTGTGTGGGCTCACAAAGGTTTTGTCAAAACGTGTGTGAGGCACCAGGTCAGTGATGGCGACAAAACCTTTATACCCACACACATATTGTCCGGATTTTGGGTTTAAGAGACTGGTATGCCCAAAACCCGTTGTTGAGGGCGGAGTGGCTGAACAGGGTCATACATCGCCACGATTTAGCACTCACTTTTGCGGGTGAAGGCCGAATTCCAACATGGCACCGACGTATACATGCAGTCAGAGCACTAAAATTGGCTTCACGAACAGCCACGCATCGCGTAGCTGTTCGTGACTCAAAGAAAGTGTACAAAGGAGCAATGCAGACAAAGCCTTTAAGTGTATATCGGGCTCTCACCAAGACACACTGCTACAAAGTACCATCCCTCTTGAGATCATTCCTCGTAATTAAAGGGAAAACAGCGAAAGAATGAAGGGCGGAGGGTGACGTCGAAAGTGTTGGAATATTCATGTGACTTACAGATGAAAAGAGTACTGAGAAGCTACGAGAAACAGGTCGTTGTATGAGAATGAGGGAGAGTTGGTAGGAGCTACAAAAAGTAGTTAACTATTAATAACATTATTTTATCAGCTTTTCATTTTCTCTCTTTGCTGTACTCCTGTCTTCCTGGAATGGGCTGACGTTCAAACAGTTCCGAGCCCAACTGGCGAAATTCCTCGGGGTGAAAATGGCAAAGCCTATGAAGTACACCAACGACGGAGTGCCGAAAAACTGGAATTGTAAAGATTGGTAGACGTATAAATGGGCCATAATGAATGCTGTCAAAGAAAATGGTCTCAAAGACATCGCGGTTGGTAGCCTGTCCTTGGCGATGTTGGAGACGGCTAGTGCCGAGACCAAGGAGAACTTCTCAGAGAAGCTAGTTAAGCTCACGAGGAATTTTGGTACGTCGGTGCCGCCGGACGTTCTCCTCCAGATACGCGACAAGAAAACTGGATCCGAGATGTGGACCGAGCTTCGAAATCTGTACGAAGGAAAACAGAACGAGGTGGTTAAGGCGTATACTACATATACATATACTGTATCCGTCGCTTAGAGAACGACCTTTGGGATATGAAGCTCGTATCTGGTGAAGACACAAATCTACACCTCTGTTAAAACGGAGCTTGAAGACTTGCAACACAATATTGCAGACAGCACTATGGTAGATATGCCATTGGAGAGTTTACCAGACCAGACAGAGTTTGAGTGTCTAAAAATTTCTATTCGCTATGGAGCGGACCCTAGTGTGTGCACACCAAAATGAGTCCGTGAGCTGATCCTCGCAGCGGGTGTCAGGCAGAAAGAATTTCAGGGCAAACGCGGTGGAAAGCGGAGTGGTCACAAAAATGATGGAGGAAAATAAGGCAATCAGGATGGAGGTGAGGGCCAGCAGGATAAGCAGTCATGTGGACAAAAGTCACGCACTTGTTTTATTTGCAGCAGTACGAAGCACGTATCAGCGTGCGAGGCGAGTATGGAGGCGATGGCAGGGAGTAATATACTGCAAGAGATCCTACCTCATCATTCCATAACGCTACGAATTGGAATCGACAATCAAGCCGCTCATATAATGGTAACTAGTCCTACGTACAGTCGTCGTACGCGCCACATTGAACTAAGGTGGCGCTACGCTGCAATAGTGTTGGGAATGGCGCATTGCACACATGGCACACGCGGCGACAAAAAATGCGTGTGGGATGAACGATGATGCAGGTAACCCTGAGTTGACTCGGTTGATTTCTAGGGTCAAGAAAACTATTTACCAAGTTCGAACTGTCGAAAAAAGTGGCGATCTCTTTCAAGTTCTTTGTAAAGGTCTCACAAGCACTGGCACGACATAGCTACTTGACAATGCCCCGGCTCACTTTCTTAGTCTTACTAGCTTCATTCAGTGAGTGCTCGACAAAGGGGAAGCTATTGTGGCCTGGTATCAAATGCGGCGACGCCAAGCCGAGCGCGCAGGAGTTCCTCCATCTACATTCCTTCTTGAGAACGGCCAGCTGAATTGATACACATTCTATCACTTTTGACACCAATCGCTGAAATCAAACGTGTCTGCCAAGCAGAAAAGGCAAATCAAGTGGATGTTCTTCTCAAGTTATATCTCGCTCGGTCAAATACGTTAAATGTTGACCAATCTCTGCAGCACTACATGACGGCAAAAGCGCAACCTCAGTGGATTATCGTCGGTGAATTAACTCCTCTTGCTACTTCAACGCGCAAGCGTCTTTGTGCGGCACTGGATCACCGGTTCTTCTCACGATATTTTAAGTCTGAAGCTATTCGTGGAGCAGCGTACGTGTTTGAAATGCAGCAACGTTTGCTGTATACATATAAGCGACCTGAGCGATCCTTGCACAGAGTTGTTAGATTGTGTACACTTCAGAACACCAATCCAATGCAGCAGCAAGTGGAGAACAATAAATCTATGTGAATGGCTCAACGTCAAACGGAGATTGTGTCTGACAAGATTAAAGAAAAAAATCCGTGGTGTGTTGATTGTGAGGGTTACGAATTCAAACGACTATGAAGCCCAGGAGCAGTTTCCTTCAGCATACAGCTTTTCAGATGAACTAGCTGAAACTTTTGCTCACCAGTACGTGAAGAGAACGCCTTACTGGCACCATGCAGTATGGTAACAACACAACAAATCTGTGTCAGCACCATTCGATCTGGTCACCACTGCACGGGTCTGATTAGCACAATACCCAGCACAACACGATAGGACACCAGCTGGATGCACACAAAAAGGCGCGATTAAGGTTAATCTGGTGACCAGTGTGCAGTGTGAGCCACACCATTCCAGCACAGCAATCGCGATCGAGTATGCCGCCGCGAGTTAGTTGGCGAGAGCTCGCCGTCAATGTGGACGCCGTCGGGACCGAGGTGGTGTTCGCGAAGCTAAAGTCGTTCGACATTGAAAAGTCGCAAGTCATGGGGTGTAATTTCTGCCCTGAAGGAGACCATAAGATGCGCTATCGTCTATTGGAGTGCAGCTCAGCTACATGCAAAGAGGCGAGCCCCGTGAAGTGCCCCTGGCGGGGGAAGGTGGTCACGTGCTTGGAGTCCGAGCACGCGTCCATCTACGACTCCGGAGAGCACAACACGGTCTCCTCCACCTCCTCACCGGTGCGCAAGAAGCTCACCCAGCCTCAGAAGGCCTTCGTCCGAGAGTTGGTTCAGAACCACATGAGACCCATGCGCATCAGGCACGCGCTGGCCCGCAAATTCGCTACCCCGCTGGAGGAGCTCCCCGCTCTCAAGACCGTACAAAACTTTGTAAACCACTACGCCCGCTCGCGGTTAGAGAACCATGACCGAGTCGAGGACTTAAAGAGGTGGATTCGCCAGCAAGCGTACGACCACTCGAAGGACATGACGGAGCCCTTTACGTTCACGTGAGAGCTGGACAACGAAGGTTTGCCCCTCGTCGGGAACGGCTCGGACAGAAAGCCGTTCTTGGTCGGCATCTCGACGAAGGCTCTAATGCTACGCCTAATGGTGCCGCCAGAGAGCTTCATACTGCACCTGGACGGCACCTACAAGACGAACAGGATGGACTACCCCGTGCTGGTAGTGGGGGTGTCCGACCGCTCGCGCCGCTTTCATTTGGTCGCTATGTTCATTATATCTCAAGAAACGGAGTCTATTTCCGGAATGCGCTTTTGTCGCTACGGCGCCTCTACTTTTGGATGACGAACAAGCACCTGACGGTGCAATACGCAATGGCTGACGGCGACAGAGCCCAATTTAATGCTCTGTCGTCGGTATTTGGCGATAACCCACGGTTTTGCTTCCTGATGTGCTTCTTCCATGTGATGAAGCACATCCAGGAGCGGGTTAAGATGCTTTCCTCGGACTCGCAAGCTCGTGTCCTGACGGACCTATACGACCTGCACTTTGCTCGGGACCAAGCGCACTATACGGGGATGCTGCGTGCTGTTCTCCACCGCTGGATGACCGAAGCGACCCTAACAGCATTTGTGCAGTACTTCTACGGACAATGGGTCGTAGGGCCCTTCGCGGTGTGGCAGCGCTTCGCCACGCCAAGCGGTTTCGCTTCGACGAACAACCCGGCGGAGACGTTCAATGCGCTGTTGAAGCGCGACTACACCTTGCGCCGTCGCCTAAAGATGGGAACGTTGTTGCTCGAGCTCAGTGGCTGCTGCCAGGACCAATCCAGCAGCTCCAGAGCCTTCGAGTATGCCGTGATTCCAGCACCGACCCTCGCGCGTAGGGTCTCCGAGATGGTGCGAGAGGGGTTACTAGGTCTCGCACCAGGCCAACATGTCGAGTACGTGCGCTCCGGAGAATGCTCTATCCTTCGTGTGATTTCGCTGCCTGCCCGCCGAGTTTTAGTTGCCCCAAACAAGCGCACCGAGGAAGCGATTGCTGTGTCGGCGCAGACGGGCAGCAACTACGCGCGAAAAGAGTACGAGGGGCAGCCCGTAGACGGTTCGCCCGTGAACATCCAATGGCAAAGCTGCCCGTGCGACTACTTCTTTGGTTTTGGCGCCTGTGTGCACGTGCTGTATGCACTGCGTGTGACTGCGCACGTCGATAGCAGTGGGCGTGAGGTGTTGGTAAGTCGTAGGAAGATAAAGCGTGGTGCAGTGGCTGTACTTCCCGAACTAGGGTGGCCTCGTGATGTGGGTGCTGCCCTGAGCTTCGAGTGATCCAGCGTTCACAAAGCGTCAACCTGCCGCAGAGCGAGCTTGTTAGTATAGTCTTGTTTTCTGTGGTGCAATAGGAATGTGAGCAGACAATCGAATATGCAATCCTTCTGCTTGAAGTATGCTTCAAGTACACGAAGTTGAGAATTGGAAAAGCTTCAAGCCTCTGTAGTACCCAAGCAAGACGATAAACTGAAGTTCCGTATTAGAAAATATGAAACGCTACAAAGTAAGAAATGCACGAGCCCGAGGATAAATCTTGACGTCTTAACGCCGCAGTATGATACAGTTTGGATCCGCTTTTCGTCACCGCACACTTTGCCAGGTGTCGCCGTTTGCGGGACCTTGAAACGTGCCACTGAGCCGTTCTCTTCTTGGGCTGGTGACATATATTGACGCGCGTGTAGCGGTTGGGTACAGACCGCACGTATGCTGCAGCCTCTGCCTTGGAAGACGCTCCACTCGCCTTCCCCGGGACACAGTCAATAATCTCCCTAAGCGAGGAGCTGCAAGTCACCTTCTCGCTAAGGGAGGGTTCCTTCGACACCGTAAATTCGTCAGAAGACTGCTAATCTGGAGTATCGGCCCGCGCCGGGGTGCTGGGTGCCTCCACGGAGACGACATTAGCCTGAGCCTCAGGAGAGCTGCACACGCTACTTTGTGGGGTCCCAGGGACGATCTCCTCGCGTTCATCAACAATATCCTCTCGCAAGGCATCGTATGCCGCAGCAACAGCGGATTGGAACGCGCTATTTAATACGCTAGCTTTCGTCGGGGCCGAGAAGTCCTAGAAACCAACATGAAGGTTCTCAGCTTGCGCCACTTGCTCTGGCTTGGTCCCAGGGTGGTGCCGACGTAGTCCGCCAACCTCTTCAGCATTAAGTCCTTTGGAATGACTTAGTCCACGTCGTTGCTTTCGTCCACTCGAGTGACGACGGCGCGCCAATATCCTAGCCTGTCGCCGCAGACGAAGGCTCTGCTATAATACTCGATTAGGTCCCCAGCGTGGAGTGCCTCCGGTGGCAGCTCCGACGCGCTGCAACTTCGCTCTGCGGCTGCGTAAAGATATGTATGCGCTGAGGCCCGACATGGTCTTGAAGGGGGTGCTGTGCGCCGCAGGCGACTTGCTCGTCGTAGGCTCTCGGGACTGCAGGGGATTCGAGGACTAACGGAAACTGAAGTGCACCACCCAAAGTGCCACAAACCTTCCTACCATTATGCTACTAAGTCTTAGTGTGGATAACACCACTCTCCATTCTGTTCACGTTGCGTGCTCATCCCCTCCCAGCCGAAGGCTGTGCGCAGCCGTGCACGGGGCGACCGAGTCTGTCCTGTCCGTGCGTATTGTGGTTGAAGAGGTATTGTGCTGATCAGATTCTAACCTGTGTTTGTTATATTTTCTCGTACGTGAACGACCTGTTACGAACTACATTGCAAATCGAATTGATGGTGAGATTTCTCGCTGGATGGACGATCCTGTCGAACTACGCGTTATTGAGCGAAAACAAGAGTCGGTTATGCACTTTTGGAAACGGTCACATTGAGCGAGATTTCAGTTTGGCGGGGGGTATGGTAGCCACGCAGCGCACCAGACTGTCCCCGCAAAACATTGACACGGCTATCTTCTTCAACAGGAACAGCAAGTTTGTTGACCTTTCTCAGTGCCAAGCAATTCCTTCGAGCGAGATTGAGGAGCGTGTGCCGGCAAGTATGACATTTCCGATTGAAATTGTACCCGATGAATATGGAGAAGATTCTATTATCGACCTTTTATCGAGTACTAGCCTAGATGGGCTGTGGCGATTATATCATAAACAGCTCCTAGCTTTGCGAACTCGGTGTGCGACTCGCATTCATTGCCGCGCTAACTGCACAAAAAGACACGATAATAGGCACGATAAAATGTTAGTGATGTGCTTCGGTTTTTCATAAATTAGTTCTTACCACGTAGTTGATGAGCTCGAGCGCTGTGAGCACGAGCAGCCTCTTCAGCTCTATACTTGACATCACGTTGCGCCTGAGCGATAATATCTTTTCGTACTATCGATGATGCCTCTGCACCAGAACGTCTCGACGCACTTGGGCTGCCCGCGTATGCGCTGATCTTGCATGAAGCCGCTCTTCTGCCAGCGCAATGACTTTCTGGCAAGCCGCACTGCTGTTAGTGATTGTGCGAACACTAGCGATAGTCTCTTCAGCGAGTCCTCGCAGCAAATCTTCCACCAACTCATAGGAATCACCATCTCGGCTACCATGCTGCGGTATTGACAAAAGGCACCTCTGCCACTTGTCGATTCTTCAGAGATTCAGCGCCATTCTGCTTGGAGCCATCGCGCTCGTTTTCACCATCTGTTCCTAATTTAATCTCTAGTGCTGTCAAACGAGCTTCCATTCCTTCACATTAACGTCTAGGAGCTCGCATTTACGTCCAACGGCTTTAATGGCTTCATCGTGACGCTGTAATGCTGTGTCGAGCCGTTTCGTGGTTTCTACTCCATTAGTGTGCATCACACCCTGCAATTTCTTCTCCAGTCGGAGCTCTGACTCTTATATTTCTCCGTAAATTTTAAGCCGGATACGCTGGCGCTGACTTAAGCTGCTCATCATTTCTCTGCATAAGCTCGGCTTGAGCCGACTGAACTGCCAATCGCATTTTAGCTTCAAAGTTAGTCTCCACATTCGCAGAAGCCGTGCTAACACAATGTTTTATTAGCTCATCTTGTTCATCAAGTTTTGCTTTAAGGTGCTTATTCACGGACTCGCTTGTTCGCTTCGGTTCTTTCCCCAGTCAGCCATTATCATGATATACCAAAGTGTCATGAACTAGACGCTCAATGTCCAGGTAAGTTGGTGCAGGTTGTGGAGGTAGAGCTTGTGCCAGCGACTTTGTCATAGCATCGTGCGACCCCATTATTGCAGAGTTTAACTGCGCTTCAATGCGTTTCACGTCTACGGCTTGTTCGTGAATGCCTGCGCTTGCTTGTCCAACATCATGTAGCACATCCCGACGAATGGTCTCTATTTGCTGATTCACTGTGGCTTCGAGCTACTCAGCGTGTTCCGTTTGCATTCGCTCCAGGGACTGAGCTGGCAAGTCGCGTGTCTTGTACTTCTTGCTGAAAACGAAGTGCACTTGTCTGCTGATGGCTGGCGAGTTGCTCTATTCCAACTTGTGCTGACTCCTGAGCAGCTGTTAAAGCCTCAGTCTGTGCATAAGCTTGCTGCTCTTGCTGCCACTGGCAAATTTGCGTAGCTCGTAGCTAAAGCCTCCGTACGTGTCCAAAACTGATTCACGATACTTCCAACTTGTTCTTCGTGAGTTCCCATCACATTACGTGCTGCAAGATTATCTGTCAAATTTGCATCATTATTTTCCTTTGGTGCCACAAGAGTCAACGCTAGCTCTCCATCGTGCTCCATAACCTCTGCAGCATTCTTTTGCGCCCTTGTCATAACCATTTGGCTGAACGCTATCACCGATTTAGTGTTCTAAATCGCGCACGCACAACTTAATTTCAGCGCTCAGCGTGTTCTCAAATGGCGCTGTGACCGCGTCCTCCGTGCACTTGCCCGCCGTGCCAATTAAGTCTTCGGCCACACTTGACGCTCGCCGTATTCTGGGTCACGATCTCGCCGTAGATCTCTGCAGCACCCGCTCTGTTCTGACTCACGTCCACGCTGACTTTGTTCTCAGCACTCACCAAATCGAAGCTTACACCGGCACCACACTTGCTCTCACCACTCGCCGTTCCCATGATCACGCCTACCCTGCACTTGCTCGCAGCGCTCACCGTGTCCTGGTGACGCCATATTTGCACGTGTGCCTACGCCGAACTTGTTAACTGTGCGCTATTGGCCACCTGTGGGTTTTAAATAAATCCATAAATGTCCAATCCTAAAAGTTTATTCGTATTTCATTTAAGCGAATAAGAGAGCTTGAAAACGAGCAATGTAGCTAACTCCTCCACTACAGTAAAGTCGATACCCCCCGCCCCACTGAGGTTTACTGCTCTCCTATTTTCTGCGAGAGCTGAGGCTCGTCGGATACGTGACTTGATGTTGTTCAACAACTTGTTGGCAACAAGTTGTTGCCAACAAGTTGTTGCCAACAACATCAAGTTGTCGTGTCGGAAATGCCACCTGGTAAGCTTCAAGATTTGCCATGGTTAGGTGCAGTCCAGCCACGCAGTTGAATCAACTGTCGACGCCGCTCATTTTCCAACCTCATTCCCCGATTTGAGTGGCCATTGCCCAAGGTTCAATTGGTGAGACGGAATGAGCAACAAACGATTCACTGTAAACCCATTCGGAGGCTTGACGCTGTCTAACGAAGATCGTACCAACCTTCTTGATATCGTCGACGCACTCGTTCACGCGAAGTTCGAAGAGTACGAAGAATATGTGAGCACGAACAAGCGAGTCGACCTTGGTCGTTGGAAAAAGTTTTCAGCATCAGGCGCTGCGACGACGTACATTGAACGCAAAAATTCTAATCCGGACTCCGAGCTGCCTGTGTCACTAATGGTCGGCCCACTACCTGGAACTCTAGACGAGATCATGTTCGGTCTAGTCAGTCCGACGCTCGAGTCGATGCGAATCAAGGCGTCATACTTGAATGACTTCAGTGCTGCTGCCGTTCTCGCGACGATAATAGAGCCGACAGTGGACGACCCGTTCCGATCGGTGGTGGTTAAGTGGATGGAGATCGATATACCTGGAGCGTCAATTGGGTTAGTGCGGAATCGCGATTACGTTTATGTAGAAAGCACGGGAATCCTCCGCTTGGAGAACGGAGAGCGTGTGGGTTACCACTTGATGCACTCTGTTGATTTTCCGCAAACGCATGGACTACCGAGCAGAATCCGCGGCAATATGTCTCTTTGCGCTATATTCCACCAGGAGGGGCCCGATCGAACAGACTGCCGCGGGACAGGTATCCTTGATCCGAGAGGAGATATCATCCGCACGATGGCTTTGTCAGGGATGGTGCATGCCACGATGGCAGGTCTCAAGTATTCGTATTGCGGACAGATGAAGAAGCTGACGTGGTTGCTGGAGCAGAGGCACGCCGAACTAAGAGAGTACGGTACTCCCGTTTCTAAGCCCGATTGCGTAACCTGCTCCAAGATTATCAAAAGCTCAAGGCTTCGAGGCTTCGGCAGGCCCAACTCTACATGCAAGTTGTGTTTTGGATCGTTATGCGGGTCGTGCAAAGTTTCCAAGAGGTTGAGCTTTATTTCGCCGGATCTGAAACTCACTCAAAGAAAAGTGCGTTTTTGTGTGAAGTGCTTGATGGAATCCAATCGCTTGGACACGCTCGAAGCTGCTCGACATCACTTTGTGTACGGACAACCGGCCTTCTCAAGCGCCTATGGCTCGTTAGCCTCCTCTTTTATCAGCTCGCGCTCTGATAGCGTACGCAGTCAGTCTGACGCGCCACTTTATTAATGAAAGTCGATTCATTACATTATTCGCAAGGCCTGGAATAGCGATTATCTGGATGATATCTGAATAAATGACGGATAGATTACCGATCTATATTCAATAATTTATTTCAGTGGAATATCGTTATTCCACTGGAATATATTTCTGGACGAAGAAAATTATTTTTTTCAAAGCCTGTATAATATCAGTTCTCTAATACCCGGAAGTAAGCTTAAGCTGAATGATAACGAATCACACAGTTTGTTGGGAGCTGAACCAGATGATTTTTTGCAAAAGGTCTCCCTTATCCCCAACACAATTTGCATTTAAAATGCGGACGAAATAAGATGCAAGATCGTCAAATTCCTAGGCCGTGTTCGATCTAAGCTAAAACCAGCTGTAATTGTTACTTCTCAACCAGCTTTATTCCGCAAAGAAACACATACATGTACTGAAGTATACGCTGAACGTATACATGCATATACAGTGTAGATGAGCGAAAAATGACAGAAAGGGTATTTTTCAAATGTGATTGTAGGGAAAACGTGTTTTATTGCAAAATCGTATGCGACAAAATCATCGATTCCGCCCGTCACTGACTCAGTGACTCACTCGCAATATTGACATGGGGAAGAAGGCCAAGCGGACAGTGTCTTCGCCTGTGGCACCCACGCCCCTCCACAAGCCTTTGCACATCGCGTCACCACCCGTGGTCCTCGACAAACACTCCTGCAACGCTGAGTGCAGCTACGAGTACGACAACCTGCTGGCGGGCAGTCGTATGGGCGTACGGCCCTTCCCACCAGCCCACGACCTAGAAAGTGGCGAAGATAGGAATGATGGTCAATGGCAAGTGTTGCACGCACTAGATGGCGTGCTGTGTTTAGCCACACACCACGTGCTGGAGCTCGTGCAACTTAAGCACGCAAACTTTGGTATCCGATGGCGAGATACGAACGTGGAGAGAGACGCAGATGCCTTGCCGCCGAGCTGCATGTTGGGGCCGCACTGGCACTTGATGCTGACTACGTGGTCGGTTTTCTTCTTCTTATCAACGATAGTAAACGTGCTGACGTTCGAGAAGGCGGGAGTGGTGGAGCTGGGAGCTGGCGTGATACTCTCGGGCTTGTGCTTAACGTGTTATGCGCTGGTTGGGTGCTCTAACCCGGGCATTGTCAAAAGGTGAGAGCAGTGAAAAGAATGTGCGAACTACGAAGAGCTGATTAGGTCATTTATTGCAGGATTGAGGTGCCGCTTGATGAAACATACACTTATTGTGACCATTGTGACTCGTACCGACCGGAAGGGTACGTTGTTACAGGAGTGCGGTTATGAGAAACCTGATCTAAAAGAGTTTGCTGCTTGCTTTAGAGCGTTGCATTGCATGGACTGTCGGGTGTGTATTGAGGAGTATGATCATCACTGTCCGTGGACGGGGAAGTGCGTGGGCAAGGGCAACATTCGCTATTTCTACTGGTGGCTGCTGTTCTTGGTGCTGGCGTTCGTCTACGAGGTGATCGAGTTCACGACATATTTGTTGCCCCCGGAGGGTCAAGACCTGCTGGACTCGTCGGACGACTCGCTGGAGATCGTCTTCCCAGCCATATCGCCCACCCCACGTTTGTGAAAAGGATTCGTCTTGCACGTAGGCAGCCGCGCTGGGCGAACTGCAAGTTGCAACTACCGAGATCAAGGGCTTGCTTCAAGCGCCCTCGTCGATCGCCGAGTCGACAGGATTTGCATGCAAGTGCATGGACCACCAGAAATTAGGACGATTTTCTGAAATTTGACACTTCCACGTCAGAATCCAACACGTGGGCGCTACAGTGTGTCCAACCGGTGAAGAGTGTCACTTTACTGTGAGACGTAGGCCAATTATAAGTTGTAATGCGCCATATTTATATTTACGTTTATCTTAAAAGTTGTCACGGTGTATCGATCGGCGTGATGGACTTGGTGAAGCTGGAAGCAGACACTGGAGCGGCAGTCGGTTCCAGCGCCGACTTCCTTAACGTTAGTGATGCTGGTGTCCTTGGCGCCGACAGATACGAGTGCGACAAATGTGAAGCTCCTAAATTATTCGCTGAAGTTCCCAAAGACGGCGGGGTGAGCAGATACCTCCACTTACTGGCGATACGAAGCTGCCAGATTAAGAACCCTACAAATGACAGCGACGAGATGCTCAGCGACGTCCCTGTGGACATGTAGAATTGGATCCAGGAAACTGCTCCGAGATAGAAGAAGAAGGATGCAACGCCGAAGAGCATAAACTTGTAGGCAGTCATCTGCTCTTTCTCGCACCTTGTGAGCCACCAGGAGCTGAAGGGCGAGCCCCACTCGAGCTGCGTCATATCCATGGTTCGCACACTGTCCTCGAGTGTGTGTGCCGCATAGCGCGTCACTGCTAGCTGCAAATTGGTGCACATGACGGCGCAGATGAGCATGGACACGCACACAGCAGTGCCAGAGACCGTATACAGGAACAACACGTAGGCGTGGACATTGTCCGGCACGCCGACGTTGCACATTGCGCTGACGATGAAGCCACAGAGCAGCGTGGCCTGCTCCGATACGGTGGACAGCTGCTCAGCACGAGCTTCGCACACCAAGTGCTCGCTCTGCATCTTCTCGCGCCGTAGGAAGCGCTCGGTGTCCGCTAGCCGCCACTGATGCGCACGCACGATGTCGTCGTTGAGCCACTGTATCTCCTGCTCCCGATACGCCATATCCTCGTCCCGCCATTGCTTGGCGTTGCGCAGATCATACGACCCGAACAGCGCGTTCACCACGCTGCTGGCCATCTTTAATAAGAAATTACTTTCAAAATAGTTATTTTATATAATATTAAAATATCTGATTACGCTTTTTTCAAAAATGAAACTATTTTATTTTACATGGATTGGCATCATTTTTAGCTAAAGGGTTAAAGGGAAAAAGAGTTAAAAATGGTTAAAGGGCTAATAAGAAATGGTTCAGCTAACAATTTCTTAAGAGGTTCATTGAGACCTGTACCCCAACAAGTCAAATCGAAGAACTACAGAAAATCAAACAATCGCACTTCATCCCGTATCCTCTCAAACGTTACCCTTCTCTATCGTGAACCACCCTGCTGTTCATATCAAGATCAGCATGGAAGCCAAGGGTATCTGTGAGTAGTGTGGGTCTTCAAAGTGCGACTGGGAGATCTAAGTCGGCGAGATGCGTGAGACCGTGGCACGTCTAATGCGTTCGTGCTCGCTCAAACGGCGGAGAAACCACTCTTTCCGTGCTATTCTTCGCCGCCAGTATATATATCTATATCTAAATATATATATATATATATATATATATATATGAAAACGGAGAGTATGAGTGGAGGTGTGCCCGAGTCCATGAAACGAGGCCTTCTCGAGAACTGGCCGGATACATTCAAGGTATAAAAAGACTGTGCTTTTATGCGTCTGGAAGTTTTAGATCAGCCTAGTGATCGACCTATTGACCACGTTTGCGTGTAAATGTGACAGGATCTATCGACGAGCGACAAACGGCGTCAAGAACATCACGGATAGATGTAGATCTTACTTTGAAAACGTCTTAGTAGTGGAACGCACTGAAACACTCGACATCAAAGTCCCTTTCGCACTTGGTGCATCCGTACTTCGCCTTCTTGCTGATTCCCCGAATACTACACAGATAACAAGTCAGCTTTCCGTTGATGTGTGTCGTAGCGCTCGGCGTAATGATATTAAAAGAAGAATCCGCACCAACCGCATCGTCAAGTGTTTCACGCTTCCGTGAATTTTCTCGCCGTAACTTGCGTCGTCTTACACCCTTTTCATTATTCGTCAATACGTCGTAATACGTCGTTTGAATTCGCGAAGTGCGAGAGACGGCGCCGTAGTTTTTTTCAGTAGCGCAAAAGCATTATTAATCGCCAGGTCCATTAGCCATGTAAAATGTGTCAAACGCTTCTTTCAGATGGGATTGTTGACAGTAGTTGGTCAGCACGATCGACCCCGTTCATGAATCGGTTGTACAATGCAATCACAGTAGGCACCATGAATATTTTGCGATGCAAACACGATCGTCTGTCCAGCGCTCAAAAGGAAAGAGACCATGACAGCATTATGCAGCCTCTTGGGAAGACCAGTGAAGCGTTCGCGCCGATAGCGTGGCTCTCAGGTCGTTTGAGTATGGTATGCATCTCATCGTCGTTGAATGTACGAGTTGCGTTCGCGAACGTATGTCGCGTGTAAAATTGTCAAAAGCCGTGAGCCGATAGCCGGTAGGAGAGTGTAGAACTTTCGGCTTGTGACCCACCATACTAATTCAGAGTGCCGTAGTCGACTTCGGGCAGATTTGAATCTCTGGTCGCGCCAATTTATTGTGCGGAGACTTCCTCAACACGGGAAACAGCTCGGTGTAACGATGAGCTGGTGTCTTTGACAGCGCGTTGCCTGATGCATTGTCCCAGAGTGAATGCACGTACAGTGAATCCCAGCCTACCACAGCGAAAACTCGAACCCCGTACTTGTCTGTTTTTTAAGGTCTGTAAGTACGGGCTTTTGAGCGTGCTTTGGTTGCAACTGTCATTTTGTCAATAGTACTTACTCTAATTGGGGTTGCAATAGCTGCGAAGCGCGTCTGCAAAGGATTGAGTAAAGCTCTGCACAGCGGGTCGCGTATCTTGTCAGCCGACGTGTTACTATTGACGTGAGCCTTCAATGTAGCGCGAAGTTGCTGGAATCTCGCTCTCGCCATAGTTTCTGGGGATTTACTCTGGCGTAAAAAAAAACGCTTTTTCAGACCAGTTCTCACTTATATTGCTTAATACACAGATGCTCATCGAAGTCTCCTGCCCACAGTAAGCATCGGGCTCACTCTCAGTCGGAGCATCTTGTCCACGAGCAATCATCTCAGCAGACGTCCACGAAAGTAATTTGCGACGGAATAAAGCAGTTAAAAATAACGAGAACAAATTGTAGTCTCCATTGGCTTTGTAGGCTTATGCAACTTGCGGATTTGCCACAATAGGTAGCCCGCTCTTTACATTCAGTGAGTTCATGTACGCCTTCCCCATGGATCTTGGTGTGCTGGCAACGGCAGCAACTCTCGTTACGTCTGCATCAGCACAGTGCACCGTGTCTGCGTGCACTACATCGCCACCGAATGGTACTCTAGTCGATCCAGGTGACTCGCTCTCGACACTGCGTCGGGATCCACTGGTACTGACCTGCACGCCAGCGTCACAGCTCCAGCCTCCGCACCCATCATCACTGCCTCCGAGTCCACCAACATGGAGCCCTACTTCAACAGCATGCTGCTCCATGCCATCACCACCCTGAATATTATCTCCTTCGCGACCTTCGACATCATCATTAGCCACTCTCCGCTCTGTGTCCTTGTAGGCAGCCCACGTGTCGCCTACGCCCACCTGCACGTCGTCTTCATCAGCGACAAGCCTCTCCTAGTCCTCGACGAGATCCTCTCCGGTGATGTCTTCGAATAGGTACTCATGGTGCGCCTTTAAAACTTCCCAACTAGCCATCGTCGCGGTAGCGCGGTACTCAGTGTGTGCGTGAGAAATCTGAAACCTGTTTAGCGTCTATATTGCAGCTACGAACGCGATTGAGCACGGCTGGTGGCCTGGGTAAGTGCCTTGATAGAGGTCTATGTGGACCTATAGCATGTCCTGGGCTGCACTTTCGGATGTTCGAGTTTCTTTTCGGCCAATAAGATCCTTTTTTTCCTCTTACAGGCTCATTAACCCTTTTTTACCTTTAGCTACTGAGCCTTCATAGAGTTGTTATGGGCCTAACCCAGCTGGAGCTTTTCAAACAGCTCGATTGGTATGTGAAACACCAAAATCTGATCGGTCTAGAATTCTTTAAACGAGCTGGATTTGAAATTCAGCTATTAGAGAGGTTTCGCAACGCGATTCCGTCCATTCAGACCGCAATTTACATAAAAGAGGTCCTGCTAGCGCCGATTAGGGTTGTCTGTAACGGAATGGAGTCTGGGAGTCACAGGAATGGCAAACTCAATGGAATTAAACTGCCTCGCAGATTCGATTGTTTTCACTGGCTGTAATGCGGGCGACGAAGGCTCTGGCACATGGTGAAGAAGGTGTCGTCCAAGCGGAAGAAGCTGCTGTATCTCGTGCTGCTTCAGAATGGAGAGATAGAGCGCCCTCTCATCCCTGACATTGTGTTCTCTTTGGCTGCTTTTATCGACGCTAACTGTGAGCTGGAATAATGTTTTGACATCGTAGGGCTGCAGCGCCTCTGCGTTCTGCTCCGCGTGCCCGATGTGATCATAACGGCTCACAGGGACCGTTTTGTGGCTATAGAAGCACTCTGCATCATGCTACGACGTCTGGCGTATCCACCACGTTTATACGAGCACCTTCTCCGCTTTGGACGATCCCGTAAAGCTCTTTCGCGTATATTTCTTCACATGGTTGAGCATGCTCACGACAAGTTTGCCGAGAAGATTTATTTTGCTCGCGATTTAGTGGAGAAACGAATGGAGCTTTATTGCACTACTATCCAAGACAAAGGAGACTCCATTTTTGACTTTCCCGATGGAACTAAGCTACTTTATCTGCCGCCCGTCTCCTCGTCCAAGGGCTCCTGGTGAGAGCCTACAAACGTATTGCTATAGTGGGCACAAACGCTGCCATTGCCTCAACTACCAGGCAGTCACTGCACCCGACGGCATGTGCATCCACTTTTAAGGGCAGATGGAGGGGAGACGGTATGCCAGTGCCATGCTGCGTGAGAGCAGATTGCTGAACTACTTTGAGGAGCATGAGGAACGTTTTGGCGGTCATTTTCCTTACGGCAACCGCGTATGGTGTGCAGAAGTTCATTCTAAGTGGATACAAAGGAAATGTAGGCGATCCTTTTGAGCGTGCTTTCAAAAAGTAAATGTGCAGTGTCAGAGAATCCGTCGAGGGGAATTATAAGTGTCTGAAGACGCTGTGGGCTTTTGTCGCGTATGCACCCCAGCAAAAAATTGGTCTCTCGCCTATCGGCAACTTTGTGAAGGTGGCCATGCTGCTCGCTAATTGTCACAACTGCCACTCAGGTGGTAACCAAATAAGTAGCTACTTTGGACTGCAACCGCCAACGCTAGACGAGTATCTTGTTTAGAAATCGTAGCTCTGCAATATACAGTACTTCCACCACCCGATTTGTTCAACATGATTAGCTTCAGCATTATTGCATACCTCTCGTTTTCTAGTTTTGCCAGCTCCGGCTGATGAGCCCGAGCTGCTTCTCGCTCGGTACGATCTTCTTCTCTCTCCTTGTGTCTGTCCTCACGTTCCTGCTCTCATTCTCGACGGCGCTCCTCAAGTTTCTCTCGGCGCTCGGTAGCCTTCTCTTCACGCTCCAACTCGTTGTCCTCATGAATCAAGTCGTACACAGTGTACTTAAGCTTTTTCTTCGCTGCACTACCGCCGTCTTTACCGTCCGTGCGCGTGCGCATACGCTTTACGGCTTCGTCCGCACGCTCTTGCAAATAGTCTCCTCTGCTAAAACTTTCTCCCTTTTAGATTCAGCCTTGCTTGCATCATCCCTAGCCTTTTCGTCGACTAGCAGCAGCGCCTCATCAAGTAGTTGCTTGCGCTCTTTATAATCTTCTGAAGCACCGGACAAAGATGTAGATTTGTTGTCCCAGTGACGATGGGCTTGGATTAAGGAGGTGAAATGGTCCTGAGCAGCCTTGCCCTTCAGCTCAGTCTTTGCAAACCCGTCTACCTTTCTGACTTTCACCGCCAACGCCTCCCATGCATCCATGAGAGCACCTCTCCCCGAAGCAAACGGTGTGTCTGTAACTACCTGGCGAAGCAGGATGATATCATCAGAGATGCTGAACTTCTTGCGCTTGGGCTTTGTAGCCGGCACTGGTGTCACGGCCTCTGTAGATATTTCAGGGGAGGTGGCATGCAACACTACGGAAGCAACTTCAGCCAGGCCCCCTCTTCCGCTTGTCTTTGCATCACCTCTGGTCTTCCTCCGCGCGCAAAGGTTAATGCTAAACAAAAACGTTAGTGGACGAAAGAGTTTTCACTCCAACATTTGATCCGATGAGTTACCATCTGATTGTGAATGGACTAGGCTGCGAAATCGAAGCGATCCTATTCCACACAGCTCCGAGCTGCACTGCATCTGACTGGAATAGGAATTTTAGGTTTGCGAAACCTCTCTATTGGCAAAATGCATGATTGAATCGAGCTGATTAAGAATGTCTTTTTTTAGACCGTGCTCAACTTCTAAACGCTAGTCGGGCTAGATCTGAAAAGGGCTGGATTCGCGCAAATTGGTAAACGACATTCTTATACAACTCGATTCAATCATGTATTCTGCCTACAGCTGAGCTTCGAATCCAGGCATTGTAGCCCAGTCAGATTTTGGGTGTTTTAGATATCGATCGAGCTGTTTCAAAAATTCCAGCCCAAAACAACTGAATTCGTCCTACTTTTCTTTTTGTAGATATTTAATCTAACCTGACTAATTATGGTGATAAGGTCAGAGCACAATTTTTTTGGGATTTCAGCTGCCCAAATCGGCACCTTCTGCAGGCCTGAGCCAAATCTGCCAACCTACCGTGCGAGTAGTGAAGCGAGCCCGTGGCGAGCGGAACGGAGGCAAAATACAAGGAACGATATTCATTCTTTCCCGCCGCGTAGCGGCGGCACTCGGCTAGTATCGATCAAGCAGAGGTGTGAGTGCAACACGTTACATATAATACTAATGTGTACACCATGCAACTAATTTGAGCTCTCGATCCCTAGTGTCCATTTAATCGCCCTCAGAAACTCAGCCCATACAAATTTCTTGTCAGCCAAAATGACACATGTTTTATGTTATATAGGTTTTTGTATTGGGCCGATGGTGGCCGTAAATTGTGTCCAGCCTGACAAATCTCTTTTTTGTATGTAAGCCTCCCTATAAAGTGCAAACCCGCGAGCGTTAGCACATCCTTGCTATTTTGAAGCATGTTTTGCAGCTTGTGTGAAAACCGCACCGTCAAATAATAAGAATTGACTGAGTTATGGGCACTCGACGAGGTGGCCGTATAATTGTGTCCAGGAGTGTACATCACACCTTTTACATGTACATTGATACACGGTACTACTGCTGTGGCGTACTTGTACTAATCATGTACATGTAGCGTACTGTACCGGTAGACCGCTGGAAATTGCTGCTCAATGTGACGACGAAGCGACCGTCAATGCTCAACGCTGTTATCAAAAGAAATAAGAGAAATAAACATACCGCCGTGTTCACAGTACAATAATTATTTTGCCGCCATGCATGTGTGAACACTGCTCTCCGAGCTATAAAGTATGGCAAATTTACTGAAAACCCCATTCGAAAAAACGAAGCCGATCTACTCGTATGGTGGATACGTCTCCTTGCGTCAGTGTTGCAGACATTACTTTGCCTAGTCGTCATGTTGGTTTCCGTGTCAGAAACTTGGGATTTGGGAAAGAAAAACGATTTGTACCTAAGTGCCAGATGGACATTGTTTCCTGCTGGCGCTGGAGGATCTGGCACTCTAGAATTTACGTGGTAGTCCTCGCATGTGCATGGGTGAATCGTGTTGGAATGAGTAACAAACGTTTCACAATGAATCCCTTCGGGGACTTGAAACTCACGACCGAAGACCGAGGCAAGCTTGTGGATATCGTGAATACTCTCGTGCAAACCAGGTTCGAGCAGTACGAAGAGTATCTGAACAGTAACAAGGACGTTGATACGACTCGCTGGAAAAAGTTCAAATCTTCGGGGCTCGTGACGACTTATCTCGAGCGCAAGAAATCGAGCTCGGATGCGAATTTACCGGAGATGCTTATGACCGGTCCTCTGAACGGTACCTTGGATGAGAACATGTTTGGTATGGTCAACCCGACTCTTGAGTCGATGCGAATCAAGGCGTCGTATCTCAATGACTTCAGTGCTGCCGCCGTATTGGCTAGCATTGTCGAGCCAACGGAGGACGAGCCATTCAACGCGATAGTGGTCAAGTGGATGGAGATTGACATACCCGGCGCGTCGATTGGCATCGTGCGCAATCGCGACTACGTCTACGTGGAGAGCACGGGCATCATGCATTTGAAGAATGGGGACCGCGTCGGCTATCACATACTCCACTCTGTCAACTTTCCAGAAACACACGAGTTGCCGCACAAAATTCGTGGCAATATGTCGCTGAGTGCGATTTTTCACCAAGAAGGTCCTGACCGAACAGACTGTCGCGGTGCGGGTATAATGGACCCAAAGGGTGATATGATCGGCATGATGGCGGTGACGGGGATGGTTCAAGCATGCATGGCAGGCCTGAAATACTCCTATTGTGGCCAGATGAAGAAGCTCGCGTGGATGTTAGAGCAGAGGCAAAGTGAGCTAAGGGAGCGGGGTGCTCCAGTTCTGCAACCTGTGTGTGAGACGTGCTCGAAGCCGATCAAGAGCTCGAAGCTTAGAGAGCTGGGTAAGTCGAGCACCACCTGCAAGCTGTGTTTTGGGGCACTGTGTGGTTCGTGTAAGGTTTCCAAGAAATTGAGCTTTATTTCCCCGGATCTGGAGCTCATCCGGCGGAAGGTGGCGTTTTGTGTCAAGTGTTTGCTTCAAGCAACTCGCCTGGACACTCTGAAAGCCGCTCGCCAACAGTTTGTTTACAAGGAACCTGTTTTCCCGATTGCGTATGGATCTTTCGAGATGAGCTTAAGCTCCGACACCTCTTCTTAAGTAGTGGTGTTCCAATATCACGTCACAACCCGAAATCGTTTCACACTCGTTAATTTTGGTATTATTTAGAAAAAATAACAATTTCTAGGTGCTCCATTTTTCTAATTGCATCCATCGATGCACCACCACAACCGCGGACGTCGCATCGCTATAGCGAACTGACCGTATCGTTCGATTGAGAGCTCATATAGGACGCTCCAAAAGAGCCGTAGGAGCCTTGGTAAAAGGGTTGTTTATACACAAATTGATGCCGAGCCGCCTCCAATGTATCCAGGCGAGACGCTTCCATCAAGCACTTGACACAAAAAGTTACTCGACGCTGAGCGAGCTCTAAGTCCGGTGAGATGAAGGTCAACTTCTTGGAAACCTTGCACGATCCACATAACGCCCCGAAGCACAATTTGCAAGTGCTGCTTGCTCTGCCAATCCTCATTCTCGACCCCGTGGTTGGCTTTGAGCAGGTCATGCAGACCTGTTTAACAACTGGAGCACTTCGTTCTCTCATGTCTGCATGTTTCTGTTCCAGCAACCACGCCAACTTCTTCATTTGTCCACAGTAAGAATACTTGAGGCCAGCCATCGTAGCTTGAACCATCCCTGCCACAGCCATCATTCGAATCATATCGCCCTTTGGGTCCATGACACCTGTACCAAAGCAATCTGTTCGATCTGTATCCTCTTGGTGGAAAATGGCACAGAGCGACATGTTACCGCGAACTCGGCCCGGTAGCTCACATGTTTCTGGGAAGTTGACAGAGTGGAAAAGATGATAGCCCACGCGTTCACCGTTTTGGAGATAAAGGATGCCTGAGCTCTCCACGTAAATGTAGTCGCGATTGCGGACGATTCCAACTGACGCTCCGGGAATATCGATCTCCATCCACTTGACCACCACCGACCGAAATGGCTCCTTTTCTGTTGGTTCCACCACCGTTGCCAGCACAGCTCCAGCACTGAAGTCGTTGAGGTACGACGCCTTGATCCGCATGGATTCGAGCGTCGGATTGACCAGACCAAACATGTTCTCGTCCAGAGTGCCGGGTAGCGGGCCAAGCATGCGCATTTCAAGCAAGTTGGAGTCTGGGTGCGACTTCTTCCTCTCGAGGTATGTCGTCGTCGCGCCCGAGCTCTTGAACTTTTTCCAGCGAGCAAGATCAACTCGTTTCTCGCTTTGCAGATACTCTTCGTATTCTCCAAACTTGGCGTGAACTAGGGCGTCAGTGATCTCCACAAGCTTGGTGCGGTCTTCATGCGCTAAGGTCAATTCATCGAACGGGTTAAGGGTGAAACGTCTGTTGCTCATTTCAGCAGCCTTGCAAGTTTGGCTCTCACGTTGCCTGCTTCACAAGTCGGAAAATGGTTTGTTGTAAGCTCCGATGGCGTTATCTTTCGCGCAAATCTCGAAGATGGCCAGGCGGTGTCCGCTTCCATTTTTTAACATCACCAACAAGACAACTTTGGCTGGCGAGACTCGAGTCGCCCGCGACCAAACTTTTGATACATGTAATGTATGGTGAAGGATTGCGAGTACCGATACTGAAAGCGAAACACGATATCCTCTAGCCGCGGCCCTTACGTGACAGAAGGACAGTTAGTACCTTGTCTTCATCGTCGGCGCCAAGGAGAACAGCGCACGACAAAGTTTTCCATATGTATGAGCGTAATTGCGATCTTGGAAACTGTGTTTTTCACAACAACGTACACATGTATTGTAGGCGACATTGAACATTGGGCCAGAAATTGTAACCCATACTATACAGACTGTAAAAAGTCTAATAATTGTCTGTTTGATATAAATAAAAGTGCTATAGTGTCTTGAGAGGGCGGTAGAACTCATCAATTAGCCAGAAGCATCCTTTAAGGTCAGCGAAAATGTCCGGCAAGCACGAGTTCTGCCCAGGAGAGAAGCGGATGATTGTGAACAGCTACGAGTATTTCAAAAGCCAGAAGGAACAAGGCCTCTTCAAAGGCATCAGGACACGCCAACTGGTCTCTGATTGCCTTGGTTGTGCTCCCAATACCGTTGACTCCGTGGTTAATGAGAAAAAGAATAACCCAGACACTGATTTTGAGGTATATCAATTATAACTGATATTGTACCATTTCCTTTTTAAACTAATATTTGTACAAAGCCCAGTGAAAACGACAGAGGTCGAAAGCGAGATTATGACTTGACGGATACCTTTATAATTTTTTTCACCATCCTGCTGGCAGAATTGATGCTAAATCGACAAGGGCAATCTGCGACCGGGCGGTGTCATCTTCCTTTTTGACATATGATTTTGATTCTAGACCAATCATATCTGTGTATTTGGCGCGCCTTTCCCCCGAAAATGACAGTGTTCTGAGAAGGCATTTTTAAACGACTGTAGCTCCAAAACGGCTGGGAATTGGCTAAAAACTACCACAAAATCGAAATCTAAACGCATGATTGCACCCTATATCTAAATGTCGATATAGGTTTTCCTAAATGTAGACCTCTTATGCCTCTCTAGATTCTGGCCCAATGTTTACATTGTAGGCCCTACAATAGCCCGCAGCCTGGCTGACATTCTGCGTGCACAAGCCCGGGCACCCTGCCCTGAATACATGTACAATGCGCTGCGCATTGTGTACGAACGGCGAAATGTTGAGTTGGTTGGTTGCTGTGGCTCTTAACACTGTCGTAAAAGACAGCGATGCAAATTCATAGAAATCAAAGTCGACACGTTACGTTGGCTAAGGGCCGAGTCCAACGGATTCTAAATGTTTGGTCGATACGTGGTAAGGCGTGCGGGCTTACCATATCCGATACTGGCAAACGCAGTTGGTTCTAGACAACCACGAGCGTGTGCGAGGCACCACAGACCATTCGATAAACATCACCGGCCTCTTTTAGCCACCTCACGCGTCTCTCCTGTGCTTCGGCTGTCGTTGTTCCAGCGACCGGTGATGGTTGCGAGACGCTTGAGAAAGATACCAATAACGCTCCGCTTTTAGATAAAAGCGCGTAGTTAACTTCGCCACAGGATACCGCGGTAATTTGCCCAAATAACTCGGGCTCAAGCACCAATGGGAGCGTCAGCAACATTGGCGAGAGAATAAGCGTCTCAACGTCAAGGGAAGGATCCCGTCCGCAGATATACGCCGTACCGTTTGAGAACAAGAAAATAGAGAAGTCGTTTCCTCCTGCAATGTCGATCAGTCCGCATTCTTTCGAAATAGTTGCTGAGATCGCCATCACCTGTTTCGGTTCGCTAACGTCCATGTAGCATCCATGGCCAAGCTGACCAGAATCTCCACGTCCCCATGTAAATCCTGCGCCATCACTGTTGATCGCAAGAGAATGATCCTTCCCTGCTGCAATACGGCGGACCGCATACCTGTCTCCGCTACCAATTCTCGACTTCGTTTCCATTGCCCACCCTGTCCAATCTGCATTAATATGTCTCGGTTGCTGTACACACGACACAGAATTAAAACTTCAGAAGATAAGCGCACAGCGTTTCAAAATCAGCTACTTACCACCATATCGAGCAAGCCCTCAGCAACACGACCAAGTTTCCCATATTTATTGCAGCCCCACGAAAACACGCGACCGTCAGATGATAGAGCAAGCGAATGGTACTCGCCACAGGCCACAGAGCTCATGTACACCCCTCGAAGATCCCCCACAACGGTTGGCGTCTCAACTGCTGTGGATGGGGTCCCAGGCGATAGAAATCCCAATTGACCTTTGGAATTACTTCCCCATGCAAAGACGTGCCCGTTTAAATCTGTAACCAGAGTATGAAAAGCTCCACAAGAAACTTGAATAATCGTGTGCCCTTGCAGCGCTAATACACGTTGTGGGATGCTAACTCGCCGAGAATCGCCATCGGCTATCGTGTACCCCAAACGACCGCCACTACTGTCGCCCCATGTGAGCAGATGTCCATCCTCCGTCACTGAAGCAAAGAAACGTTGGCCGCAGCTCACATGAACTATGTTGGTATCATTCGCTAAAGCCCGTTTCTCGCCGACCGCGAAGTCAACAGGATGAACAACAAGTGCACTTGTCGATAAAGCATCACTTGACATGCTTTCCGCTACATCCAGTTCTTCACTAGACGTCGACCATTCTCCAATGATAAATAATCGCTTCATGGATGTAGCATCACTAGAAACAGAATCACTGGAATCAGCAACGATTGGATGAGGACTTTTTTGTCCAGTTCCCGTCCCAGTGTCTCGTCTTGCAAGCTCCACGTTCTCCATGGCCTTAATAAGATCTCGCCGAATTCTATGAGCAGCCCGCACGCACTGTGCTTCTTCGATGACTTGTGCGCAGCGAATGCCCGCATTTCCACCTTGTAAAGCAAGTTCTGCACAATCCTTGCAGTCGTCTTCATGATCTCCACGCATTAAAAAATATTGGACAGCCACTTGGAAATTTGCAATCGTGAAGCCCAACGCCGTCGTGTTAGAGTTGATGAAGTGGTAGTCCGAAATATACTTGATCACTGCAGCGATCGGAAACAGCGAAGCTGACTCCGCATTTCCCTCTGCTGTATCTCGCAGCACTTTATTGGAAGCTAGCACCAGCACAAATAGTAGTTGATCCAGAATATCGTCTGTCGTTAATTGATATGCCTCTGCAGCAGCAGCCAGCAAATTAAAGTACAGAGACTAGCTATTTTGCAAATTCAATTCCGAGTCTTACCAAAATCCAATCTCCGCAGTTTGATGTTCCGCGCAATTGCATCGCTTACTCGATCAATACATGTCTTGAGAACGAGCAGCATGTCCAATGGCGTCTTCTTCTGTGTAATGGTGAGAAGTGTGTCACGCGCTTCTGCAGTAAAACACTAATCAAACACAAATTCAGTAACAACGTCTACAGCGGCTTTAGCTTCATATACCGGCGAACCTGGAACTCTTTTCTCAGCCCGAAATCCTCTGGAGTATAGTGCCTCATGCGATACAAAACCTGCTGTAGCTTCTTATCCTGCTCTTGGCAGCTCGCCACGATTTTTGGAAAAAGAACATCGTGCAGACTCTCCATCAAATAGCATTCCACCACCTGCTGGATCTGCAGCAGGTGACTTACTCCTCCCCCATGTCTTCTTTGCAATCTATAGTCCTCCTCGACGTCATCAAAACTGCCAGCGTGGATAAGCTCTTCCACTGCAGCTTCCCACTCCTCTCTCAAACTTGCCGGTAGCGTCTGCTCGTACCTCTCGTATACCTGCTCTTGTACACAAATCTTGTGCACTTGGCTGATAGTTTCCCCCAACTGATAAAACACCAGCTCATTCTCAGGGAACGACCTAAGAATGGCTGTATATTTTCTCAAGGTAGCAACATCAATCTCACTGGGATCTTCAGGCACCTCGAGACCGCCTTCCAGCGGTCGACTGATGTGCAGCACCGTCACCTCCTGATGATGGATCTCCCTCTTCTCGGACAACAAAATTCGAACTTGTCTGCGGTCACTGAAGCCCTTTCCAGTGTGAATATGGGAGCCCAAGACTGCCACTTGCTTTCCTAACACGAACACAAGTTGAAGTGGCCGTTGTTATACTTACAAATGAGTATACATTGAAACAATTGATAGGTACCGTTTAGCGTATCATAGGAGCCCAGCAGCCGCTCCGGTTCGTCGTCTGCAGGAGCAGCCAGGAAGTGTGTGTATAGCGCGTCTTGGGTGATATCTTCATCTGTCAGCGAGCGGGGCTGCGGGACGCAGAACAAGCAGCGCGGGGGCAACACACGCTGTGTCTCCTCCAAATCCGCACTCAGGCCAAGCAGGAAAACGTCGCCCATACTAAAGTTAATGAACGAGGAATACGAATGCGGAATTGAAAAAGGGTGTGCTCCACATGAAATGGATCCGCCAATCACAAGACGTTGAAGTTTGACAATCACTCTTTGTCTTGAAGGAACAGAAACTGAAAGACAAGACACTTGACATTACCAGTTGGGTGTTATATGCGCGACACTACTCTCTCGATACAGGCACGTGCAGGTCACTAACTACAAGCGCACATGTATATGCAGCCATGCAAGGCGCCACCCTTCCTCATCGTCCTCGTCAACTTCGTGCGTCCTCTGTTTCACAGGCGAGGCCGCAGTTACTGCTCAGTTTAACGACGCAGCATGGGGTGCTCCGGAGGACTCTCCGGCTCCCAGCGGTCATGGGTCCAGCAGTCACTCTGAATCCAGTTCACAGCGTTCTGGAAGTGCGGTGGCTGTTCGTACACGCCATAGTAGCCAAACTGCAAGCACAATCACGACACAAAAGTTAGACAATTACTCAAGCACTCTGGGCAAAGACAACCGTCACATACCTTGTTTGCAGCCTGCACAATGCAGTCCTGGAGTCCCTTCATACGGTCAAGCTTAGCTCGGGCTTCTTCCTCGAGCTTCTGCTCCTCCTTCTCCAGCAGGGAAAGCTTGTCTTGGTAGTGCTTGGCGATCCAGTCACGGAACTCATCCTTGGTCATGTACTTCGACTCTTGCTGCTCTTCGGCAATCTCCTGCTTGATCTCCATAGGCACCTCAGGCACCTCAACAGCAACGTACCCCTCGTCGGTCTTGATTTCCAGCTTCAACCCCTCAGAAGTCTCGACGGCCTTCACCTGCTCAGTCGTGACCTCGCCGTGCTCGTCAACGATTTGAACAGTCTGTTCACCGTGTTCCGGCTCACCTTCAACGATCACCTGCAACTGGTTACCCTCCGGGGTCACGACGTTCACGACCTGAGTGTCTTCCGTAACCGTACTGGCAATCTCAGCCGGAACTTCGAGTACCTCCACAAGTGTGGTGCCACCGTCACCGTCCGGGATCACCAGCTTTTCCCCATCAGAATTCTCCACGGCTTTAACCTCCTTGGTCGTGTAGCCACCTTCTTCATTCAAGATCTTGATGGTCTGCTTACCATCTTCGACCTCACCGACAATTATCACTTGCTCGTGTTCTCCATTAGCAGTAACCACATCAACAGTCTGCACGACCGGCACAGGCTCCTCTTCAGTGTACGTGTGGGCAGCTGGTACCGGTTCCGGAAGATCAACAGCGACGTAGCCCTCGCTAGTCGGGATCTCGATCTTCTTCTCGCCGCTCGAAGTCTCCTCCACACGGACCTCGGTCGTCGTCGTCTGGCCGTACTGGTCCACAATCTCGACGGTCTGCTTGCCGTGCTCCGGTTCGCCCTCAATGATCACTTGCTGCGTCTCGCCGGACGGCGTCACAATGTCCACCACCTGCGCGGTCTCACCGGACTTCTCGGCCTCGCGCACAACCTCAGCAGGCACCTCAGGTACGATCACCGGCGTGTCCACTTCAGAAAGATCAAGCTTCGTTTCACCGGACGCTGTCTCGGTCACCTTGACCTCCTCCACAGTCGTTCGGCCGCTCTCGTCAGTAATCTCAACCTTCTGCTCACCGTGTTCAGGCTCACCGATCAGGGTCACCTGCTCTTGTTCGCCCGTCGACGTGGTCACCTGGATCACCTGCTGCACAGGCTCCTCTTCAGTGTACGTGTGGGAAGCTGGTACCGGTTCCGGAAGATCAACAGCGACGTAGCCCTCGCTAGTCGGGATCTCGATCTTCTTCTCGCCGCTCGAAGTCTCCTCCACACGGACCTCGGTCGTCGTCGTCTGGCCGTACTGGTCCACAATCTCGACGGTCTGCTTGCCGTGCTCCGGTTCGCCCTCAATGATCACTTGCTGCGTCTCGCCGGACGGCGTCACAATGTCCACCACCTGCGCGGTCTCCCCGGACTTCTCGGCCTCGCGCACAACCTCAGCAGGCACCTCAGGTACGATCACCGGCGTGTCCACTTCAGGAAGATCAAGCTTCGTTTCACCGGACGCTGTCTCGGTCACCTTGACCTCCTCCACAGTCGTTCGGCCGCTCTCGTCAGTAATCTCAACCTTCTGCTCACCGTGTTCAGGCTCACCGATCAGGGTCACCTGCTCTTGTTCGCCCGTCGACGTGGTCACCTGGATCACCTGCTGCACAGGCTCCTCTTCAGTGTACGTGTGGGCAGCTGGTACCGGTTCCGGAAGATCAACAGCGACGTAGCCCTCGCTAGTCGGGATCTCGATCTTCTTCTCGCCGCTCGAAGTCTCCTCCACACGGAACCTCGGTCGTCGTCGTCTGGCCGTACTGGTCCACAATCTCGACGGTCTGCTTGCCGTGCTCCGGTTCGCCCTCAATGATCACTTGCTGCGTCTCGCCGGACGGCGTCACAATGTCCACCACCTGCGCGGTCTCCCCGGACTTCTCGGCCTCGCGCACAACCTCAGCAGGCACCTCAGGTACGATCACCGGCGTGTCCACTTCAGGAAGATCAAGCTTCGTTTCACCGGACGCTGTCTCGGTCACCTTGACCTCCTCCACAGTCGTTCGGCCGCTCTCGTCAGTAATCTCAACCTTCTGCTCACCGTGTTCAGGCTCACCGATCAGGGTCACCTGCTCCTGTTCGCCCGTCGACGTGGTCACCTGGATCACCTGCTGCACAGGCTCCTCTTCAGTGTACGGGTGACCACCGAAGTGGCCTTCGTCGATCGAAATTGGTCCTGGAACAGGGAAATGGATGATATCTCCATCCGTTGTCTCGACAACGAGCTGCTTTCCTTCAGACGTCTCGACCACCTTGGCCACCGTTTCGGTGTAGCCACCTTCGTTGTCTGGGATCTGGACAGTCTGCTTACCGTGCTCCGGTTCACCTACAATGATCACCTGCTCCGTCTCGCCAGTGGAAGTCACCACATCCACCACTTTCTTGTTTTCCGTCGTCTCGGTCACTTCGGTCGGCAACTCTGGCACCACGACGGGGGTGATGTCACCTTCGGCGTTCGGGATCAAGATCTTGTGCTCACCCGCCGGAGTCTCAATAGAGCGCACCTCCGTTGTAGTGTAGCCGCCTTCTTCATCCGGAATAGCAATGGTCTGCTTCCCGTCTTCAGGTTCCCCGATAATAATGACTTCGGTTGTACCTCCATCGGGCGTCGGGATTTCAACAGTTTGCTGGTTCTCGGTCGGAATTCCCTCCTCCAGTTGGTCCGGCGGCATGACAGCAATGGTGACTCGGGGGCAGAACACGTCCAGCAGGTAGTAGAAGATCTCGTGGTCTTCTCGAGACACGGCAACTTGGCGTTGATCCAGCGCCTGTCTGGCACAGTCGCTGTCGCTCTTGAGTTTTCCCTCCAGTAGCGCCACCACGTTCTTCTTGATGTCCTCGGGAAGATCGGAGGCCTTGACCCTGTCGACATCGACCATCTCCTTCTGGGTCAGGTCAGCGATAATCTCGTCCTTGGAAAGCTTCCCGTCGTGATCGTGGTCAATTCCATTAAAGTCCGGGTGGAAGGCGTCGCCCAGCTTGGAGATGAACGCCTTGGCCTCATTGGACATGTCGGCCTTGAGGTTGGCCGTCTTGACAGCAGAAGCCGGGCCGGTGTTCTTCAGAGCCGTGTAGCCCACACCAGCCGATGCGGCCAGCAGACCGAGCGTGGCTCCAGCGATGGCCAGACGTTTCTTCTGACGTCGCTTGTTGTTGGGGCGGTCAGGTGCCGCCACGCGCCGGATGAAGCGCGCTTCTTCATTTTCGCTCCCGTAGTTGGTCGGAGACTTCATGTCCGGTTGAAGGGTGGAGCTCACTCAGTGCTAGTAAACTCAAAGTTGGACGATGCTTCTTTGACAAAGAAAATTGAGAAGTGATTGAGATCATCGAGCTTCGACTCGGCTCATGCTAGCCATCGCTGGGCACAAAGATCCCGTCGGTACAAGGAGATCGGAGCATGAAAGTCCTGCCGGGTGACGGTGCTTGAGCCGTGATAACCGCATATCGACGATCTAAAGTGCAAAGGGTCGGGAGATCCGCATGATCCGACGCTTGAGACTAAATGGACGGACATCAGGGAAGATCGCTGGAAAAGTTGAAAAGGCACACCGTGCCACTTAGATTCGCTTGCGCCTCTCGAAAACTGATTACGACCGCACAATCTGCTGACGAGGATACGCCGTGGATCACTTGTATGAATATATACGCGACTGGCAAACGTCCCGTTGCATGATTCATGCAGCATGAATGGCTCACGTCCCAATTGCAAGGATTGGAGCTGGAGCACTTTTTCCACAATGGAACCCGCTTCAAAATGAAAAAAGAAGATTTTTTTTTTCTTTTTCCTCCAACGACTTTTGCAATAGATTTCCGAAGTGGTAATGGATACTACATGTAGTGATCATTGATCACTAGGACTCAGTGCCCAGTTCAACAGCCAAATAGCATGAATTCCAGCAGTACTTCGAAAATGGTTGCTTGAAAAAAATCGCATCTTTCTGCAACTCCGCTGATTTGTGAATCTGTTGCAGTCACCAAGACAAAGTGGGTCTTGCTTGTCACCGAATAGAAACGAGAGTCCCCACACCAACATCAGATGCCGCAAGGCATAAAAATCGCTGAAGAATGAAGTGATCTGATCGAGTTTCCCACGCAAGAAGAGCAGAATTGCAGTCGCTAAACATGCACAACGCGTTGGCTCACCAGTCAATGCGTGGCAATCAGCGGTAGCAAGCCATAAACGGCTTTCTCGATATCACAGAAGCGCAAAGTTGAAGTCGAGCATACAAACTCCGAGTCTTCGTCTACATGGTCCAGTTTTCTTATTCTCCAGACTTCATCAATTGGCAATCACCACCATGCAGTTCTCGCTCAAGAAGCTTCGTCTCCGCGACGAATGGAGCTTGCCGAGCTTCAGATCGATGTTTCCAGGCGCGTCCGGAAGTCAATCGACCTCGGAGGTCCCACCAGTTGATGCGTCGATGACATTGGGGGGACTTCCACCACTCGACGCGTCGACAAAGACGCAGCAGAACGATGTCAAGACCGAAGACATTTCCAGTGCCGACACCGGAGGTTCCAACGAAATCGTGACTGCTTTCGACAGTCTTGACGCCGAAGACGCAGAGTCGGACGCGTTGCCACCGGAGTTCCAATGTCGCTATCGACATGGGAAATGTTCCCAGCCACGCACACTGAAGAAGAACGGATCGATGCACAGCTTCTGCGAATACCATCGGCAACTCTCTGTGCGCAACCAACGAGTATTCGACCAGAAAAAGCGACTGCAACAGGAACCGGCAACCGGCAACACTGAAACCTATACCCCCATCCGCGAAGATGACCAACAAGAGGCACACGACAGCAACAAGCGACCCAGACGCAGACGCCGGACAGTCTAATCCGCTGCAGCAACATCGCAAGCATCATAACTATGCAAGCACGAAAAATCGCATTGATACTTACTCTCGCAACGGTTCTCCGTTCGCAATATCTCGACAATCCTATCAAATGTCTCGGGTCTTGCTCGTGTGCTCTCCTACGCTTTAGTCCACCACGATCGACCACGGGTGCTCGCGACGGCCGTACTGGATGTCGGACAGCTCCTTCCACACGCGTTCGGCCAGCTTGCCGGCCTTGCCGTCCGTGCCGTCCAACGGGATGGCCAGATCCTCGTTCATGTAGTTGATGGTGGACACGGGGGACACCACAGCAGCCGTGCCGGAGCCGAAGATCTCGAGGATGCGTCCTTCCTTGTTGGCCTTCTGCAGCTGCTTCATGTTGATGTTGCCCTCCGTGACCTTGAACTCGTTCCACTCGCGTGTGAGGTGCAGGATCGAGTCGCGCGTGATGCCTGGCAGAATGTCGCCACGAGTGAGCGGGGGCGTGATGAGCTCCTTCTCTCCCTGCTCGTTGATCCAGTGGATAAACAGGTTCATGGTGCCCACTTCAGTGATGTCGTGGTCGGGGCCGAAGATCCACAGGTTCTGCGAGTAGCCCTGCTCCTGGGCGTCGTACTGCGGCAGGATACCCGGCGCGTAGTTCGCTCCGACCTTGAAGCCGCCGGTGCCACCAGGCCACGCACGGATGTAGCGGTCGTTGGCGCAGAGCTTCACGGGGTTGAAGCCCTCGGGGTAGTACGGACCCACAGGCGAAAGGATGATGAAGAGCTTGGCCTTCTCACTGGCGCCCACACCGATGGAAGCCTGCGTACTGATACCCGTGGGACGGATGTACAACGAGTACCCCTCGCCCTTGGGGACCCATTCCTTGTCCAGACGGATGAGCTCTTCCAGACATTTAGTGAACTCATCACCGTCAAATTCCGGGAGCAACAAACGCTTCATCGAGTTGTTGAGACGCTTCATGTTCATGTCCGGACGGAAGAGACGGATGTGGCCATCGGCGTCAACGTACGCCTTCATGCCTTCGAAGCACTCGAGCGCGTAGTGCAGCACAGCGCTGGCAGGGTCCAACGCCATGGGGCCGTACGGGTGAATCACCGGGTTGCCCCATCCTTTGCCCAGTTCCCAGTCCACTTCGAGCATGTGGTCTGTGAACGTCTTGCCAAATTTGAGCTGCTCTTTGGGCAGCTTCGACTTGGGGGTCGAGGTACGCTCGACCTTGAGGTTGGCGAATGAGATATCGGCGCCTGTGGAGAAGGCGGCAGCACGTGAAGACGTCATGCGACCCAGAGTCTTGACGCCACGAGCGAGCATTACAAGAGGAGCTTGTACACGAAGCGGTGAATTTGGGAATGACACACGTGCAGCTGTGGCAGACTTCTGGGATACTTAGTGGAGAGGGAAAATTTGTAAGGTGGAGACGTTTGCAAGGTTGAGATTTGAGATGCGCAAACACGCTTCATCTGTGTATTGTTGATGAATAACTTGTATCAATATAGTTTGATTAGAATTCACTTGTGACGAGCGCTTCATTTGGCCCCGATGTTAATACTTACCAGCAGAAATTACACCTCCTTTGACACCTTCTCGCTGACGATCTCAGAGGAAGCAGACGGAAGCTTGCCCGTAGATGCTGAACCAGAGGGAACCTTGGGGGGGTCCTTAGGTGCCTCAGCAACGCCATCCTCTTTTGCAGCACGAAATTCCACTTTGAGAGCGTGATCTCCTTCCTTGTGTTCTTCCTCTCCTTTGTGCTCATGGTGCTCACCCTCTTTGTGGTGGCTGTGGTTTTTCTCGCCCTCTTTGTGATGAATCACGCTATCTGTGTGGTGGTGTTCTCCTTCCTTGTTGGCGTGATCTCCACCGTTGTGAGCATGTTGTTCTCCTGCCTTGTGGTGGTGCTCTTCCTTATGGCAGTGATGATCGCCATTATGGCGGTGTTCGGCCTTGTTGATCTCTCCATTATGTTCTACGTCCTTGTGAATCTCTTCCTTGTGGCCCTCGTGAGCTGATCGAGTCTCAGCAGGCGGTAGCTCTTTCGCGCCGTAATTATGGTGGGCATCTGCGGCACCAGGCGGGACGCCGTCAGTCCAGATGGACTTGAGCTTGGAAAACTTTTCAGCGTCGTTTGCAGTCGACTCCATGATGGCCTTCGACTGGAGGAACTTGTCCTCGTCGTACAGCGTGTTCTCGATCGATGCGGCTCCCCCCATAGCTATTGCGCAAGGGGCAATTGAACCAGTTCTGCGGAGGTCTGGCTAGTAAAACGACGAATGGAAATAATGTACCACGCGGTTCAATCCCATGTCAAATCGCCATCACTGCGGAGGCCACAGAAATAGGTGGCGAGCAATTCAGACCAAGCGGCGCCGACTCCACGCCCGCTAAGATTAGAGGCGCTTGCTGAAGATGACGAGTTATTTGTGCCTATGGCGAGGCTGAAGATGTAAAATATCAAGGAGTTTTGCGCCCACATTCTAAAATAGCATCTCAGTACATTAAACACCGTGTTGAGCTGTTTTTGCTCATTTGTGCATCAAACCAAATTGATGCGATGCAGTTTTGACATGTATACTTAAACGAGGTCATGTGTTTTGTGCAAGGATGTTCAAGTTTGATAAAATACCGTGCAAGTACGGATATTTGCTGCTACATTTGCCTTGCCCTTTAGTTATGCCACTGATAATGCTACATGTAGATAAATGTGCGAGCAACAGGTTCATCAGCTGCATGCAATGCAGTGATAATCATACTGTGCTGGCACGATTTCAGCAGTTGTAATCATGGTCATCGCATCCGATTGATTAGATGAGCTTGATCACTTCTTGTGGTAACTACCGGTAGCTGGAACTATTCTCATGGTCAGTAGCTGTTCCTTAAACTTTCACACGTCTAAAATATACGCTAGTAATTCGGGTGATTGCTGTCGTAATGAGATGGCAAACATCGCTGTCATTGCCGATCCGACCAACCACGTGATGGACATTGCCAAGTGGAATGTCAATGCATTTAGCGCTACAGAACTCCCACTCAAGCCCTGCACCACACGACGCAGCGTGACGTCGATGTAGATTGCAGCTGCAGCGACCACAACGTGGACGAGAATGTGGCGGTAGATGCGCAGGACGCTCAGCTTGCAAACCCCAAGTTGGTCCTGACGTTGCTCCACTTTCGTCACCAGAGCTTCACGTTGAGCTTGGAGACCGAATTCTCCTCGTTCAGCGAGATCCAGTACATCCTCGGACACTTCATCTCGTGACGTGCGTTGTCGCTCTAGTCGAGTCTCAGAGAATCGTCCTGCTGCAGCTCCCACGCTGTACACGCAGTAGATGAACCAAAGTGACAAAGCTAGTAGAAGCACCGACAGATCAGTGTTGGTGGATATCTCCAGTGTCTGATCACTCAACATCTCGGTCTTCTGCACGTAGTAGAACGTGTGCAATGCAGCTCCACCAACAGCACAGAGAAGCGCTGTGACTGCGATCGACGGGAGCAAGAACACCACACGTCGAATGAAGTTCGTGCCGCTGGTCGGGAAGGCAAACAGCAACAAATGGAACGTCACCCCTCGGAAAAGATCGAAAGTGGTCTTGGCAGCGAGTGAGACGAGCAGTTGAACTGGGTTCGAGTAGCTAGAGTGAATGGCAAAGGGGTTGATACTTAACGCTAGCTCGTCGAAGCTCAGCGTCTTGTCGTTCAGCAGACAGTAGTAATCGAACCGGTTCATCAGCGATGCATAGTTAACTAAAGTCAGGAAAGTCACGATGAGAGCCCAACCCATTGCTACTGCTAAATGCCGTCGCATAACACGCTCTTGCTGGTATTCTTTCAAGTCAATAAAACTAAACAAAGCGTTAGCTAATCACATACCAAACGTTTAAACAGCTCAACGTACTCATCTTGCAATGCTGACAGCTTTGAGCGTAGACACCGCAGCACCAAGACCGCACAAGCTGCAGTTAAGAGAGCCTTGGACACCAACAAAGCCGTGAGCCATGCTCGATCCGTTGCCACCACGTCTGAAGAGATCAACAAGAACTCCCAAGCCTCGGATGACGATGCATTTTGTAGCGCTGGATGTTGACAGAGACTCCAGTCGACCTGTTGACTGGTGTACATCGCGGTCATATGCTCTTGATTCTGCAGTAAATCTGGCGCAGTGTCTTCGTGTAGTGTCAACATTTCATCCATCTCGACCATTAATCCGAAGAAAAACCAAGCGTAGATCAGTAACTCGGCTGCTAGATTCAAGTAGTAGCCCGTGAGTTCGAGCCAAGTACTACTTAATGGGGCTGTGAATGCTGGTTTCCCATCGACCATCAGTGCGTGAGTACAAACCTCAGCGAAAACGTCATTGTTGCCTCCATTGATACGAACCGCCACCTTCTCGTCTCGATGGATCCACGCCACCTCTCCGTCCAGCTTGGACACCTCCTTACACGGACCTTCGACGATCATTTCCACTTCGGTGCCTATCCTTAGACGACGAAGAGACAAGCGAACGCGATCACTCGGTACGTTCTTCTCTTTGCGACCGTCTTCGTATCGGATCGTGTACGTCTTGTCCATCTCGTTGGAGCTGACGACTGTCCCTAGGAACACCTTGGCTCCATTCGACACTTCCACTGCGCTCCCTGCTTTAAACAAACCAGCAGGTAGTTGGATAGACGGAAGGGTTAACCCATCCAGCACCCCGTCCATCATCCCGCTAAACGGCATACGAAAGAATCGAGCTTGGATGTCGACGTTCTTGACTTCTTCTCGCTTACTGTCACCGTTCGGTCCAAAGTATTCCACGATGCAACACGCATTCGGCTTAGCCTTCATGATGACAGCATCTCTCCACACCACACGTCCTGTGTCCTTATCATCTTTTCGAAATCGAACTCTCATCCCTCTTCGAAGAATGGGGGCAGAAAATAATGTAATGCTCGGTAAGTCTGGCATCCCATTCCAGTTAGGAAGCGAGTAATCAAGCCACGGTACTGCTCGTAACTTCCCCACCGAGAGCTGCTTGATCATGGCTCCATCGAGTAGATCTTCCACATCGTACAGTGTTTTACCACTGGTCTTCGATACTTTGAGTACAATCCCTTTACGCTCCATGCCGTCTTTTGAGCGATAATACACGTGCGAGTTCAGCTGGAATGGCACGTAGTTCCGGTTCGTGCCGCTGAAGAAGCGACCAAACGCTGTAGTGGGTCGGACAACGTCGAGAGGAATGCGCTTTGATACTTTACCCGCGTCACTTTCATGCTCCACGTCGCACAGTTGTTGGTCCCGATTGAGTATTCGGATCCGTCCACGACGAATCCGCCCGCTCTTGTCTTCGAACTCGACCAGCTGATTCACTCGAAGCTGAGAGATACCAGCTCCATTCTGTCGACCTTGGCGTACAGGACCAACGCTGTCGTCACTTTCATCTTCGCTTGTGACCAGTTCGCGTTTGCTTCTGCTGCCTCTGGCTCGAGCTCTTCGTTGTCTCATTACACGCTTCTCATCTGCGTCCTCGCTGTCCTCTTCACTAGTCTTCTTCTTCTTGCTAGCTGACTTGCTGCGTCGGATACCTCGTCGCTCCACATTCTTCACCACCTCGTCTTCATCCCCTTCAAGCGCGATATCATATCTGCCATTGCTACGAGCTCTGCGGATTCGCCCGTCACACCAATCGCCCTTCTCGTTCTTGTACTGTACTACTGAATCAACTTCGAGCACCTTCTCTTCATCAATCGACTGGATGCGTTCTTTTAAGACGGTCTTCTCTATTTTCCCCGTTTCATCGTATTTCACAATGTAGTTCCCATTCCGGTGCTGGCGAACTATTGTGGCGTCCAGTAAGTCTCCGTCTTCGTCACGTACACGGACAGCTGCTCCTTCTTTGAATGCCTTGCGGTCATTCCCAGTACCGTCACCTTCCGAGTCCATGGTCTTGTCCTCGTTTCACGTTATGTGAGATTTAAAGACCATGACGTCGCTCATCGCATATCCACCAAACTCCCTTCTGTCTCTTACTATTTATGGTGAACTATTATAGAAACAACATTTATAATTTCTTAACCGCTCAACAACCAGCAGAAATAGTCACTGTGTACTGTTGTAGTCTGATACTTGAGTATTAAGATGGGGGGATTCACGTCACACGACTTGGTGGCTTACCAAGAAGGAGAAGCTTCGTCCGAGACGGACTATCGAGGGTCATTACGAATGCTGACGGATATGCTCACACGTCAACACACGGCGAAGAAACACCGGGGCAAGGTGCTTTTACTGGGTCTGGACGGGGCCGGCAAGTCAACGCTGGCGAATCACCTCTCACGGATCTCTATCGGCCAAGACATGGCTCTCTACACTTCCAAAGGTCTCGAGCTACCGTCCTACTTGTACCCGGATCCAACTCGAGCGCTACAGACTGCGAGTTATCGCGTGGATACTAGTGACAGGTACTTGCAACTTGTGGATCTACCTGGACGTCGTACATGTCGAGCGAAATGGTACAATGCAACAAGTGACACTTCGTCTCCCGGTGGTAGCAGTAACAATCTCAACAATGTTACTCCCCCCACAGTTGCCAACTTTCAAGCGTCTCTCCCCATTGTTGCTGCCCTATTCGTTGTCGACATATCAGATGCCACACGTTTCCCCATCGTCGCCACAGAACTCGTCCGATTGCTTAAGCACAAATCCAAACACAAAACCTCCACAAACACGCAACTATTTCTCATATTCAACAAGATCGACCACTTTTTGCCTCCACTTCCTGCTGAAACTCCGGGAGAACCGGAAGCCAAAGAGTATCAGCAACTTTTCAGCAACCACAAGCAGCAACAGCGTGCAGGAATACGTGAAGCCCGTCGAGAGCTCCGGAGGTGTGTCGACTATGAGTTGAGAATGGACCAACGGCGTCATCCCGTTAACGTGGGAGCTTCAAATGCAGCCTCGTCGTCTAAATCCAAGTCGCTGTTCTTCGCAGCCCCTGCAGCTGTAGCTGGTGAACTGGGACCCTCCAGTAATCAAAGAAGACGTAGTAGTAATTCCACTGGCGCTTCAACTGTCGCGAATTCCTCTGCAGTCTCCTCAATCTTCACGAATGCGGCCGAGTGCTGTGCCCAAGACCGAGACAGCGTCCGTGCGTTGAGTGGCTGGCTTAATGAAGAGCTTACAAAGCCACCTCCTCCATAATATTCCTCAATTATTCTTCATCTGATTCGTCGTAGTCATCGTCTTCTTCTTCTGGCGGAAACTTCTTGTTCTTGTCATGTTTGTTCTTTTCTTCTTCTTTCAATATTTCTTCCTCTAGAGCACGGAGAAGCTCTGTCTCTGCGTCAGGGAGAGATGCTGCGGGTGTCTTCCTTGGAGAGTTGTCTGTGCGTACTCGCTTGGGACAGTCATTGTCTTGCGTCTTCTCCTCAAGAAAGTTGCCCGAAGTGCGCTTCTTGTCGGCCATAAAATTGCAATAGTGATTGGCTACAGCGATTACCGGTATAGAATGTAACGTGGTTGAGCGAAGATACCGGTATTAATAGTGAATGGCTGGGTCTGAAAAATATTGACCGGATTGCAATACTTTTCTGAACACTTCAGTACGATACTGCAGGCGTAAAGGAAACTACAACCCATATTGTGGCTGGCGATATTGCTTTCAGAACGAAGCGCACTGAGTGATGGTCGCTCCTCGGCTACGCCGAGTGGTGACCATTGTGATGAAGGAAGTAGTCGTAACAACAGTAAGTTGCAGGGACTGAAAGTCCAGCAGGGGAGAAAACCGAGTGCTGCTGCTTGCTCTTGACGGCGCAAGTTGTCGAGTGTGTAGCAGCACACGGAAAAACCCCGGTAACATATATTGGTAGGATTAGCAGTAGGATGGGGCTGGCGGCTCGCCAGCCAATGGTCCGTCGAAGTCCGGCTTCTGGACGCGAGCATCGCGTCCTGGAGGCACCTGAGCCTCAGGTTTGAGCTGGACGCAGTCCTGGCTCTTCCTCCACACTTCACACTCCCACTTGATCTAGTCGAAGCGCGGCTTCAACATGATCACCTTGTAGAGCTCACCACGATGTCCTTGGCATCTTCTAGCTGCGCTGCAGCACGACGCTTCGTCCTTGGTAGCGCTCTTCCTCCTTCTTGTCCTTCGCATGCATGAACGGGTAGTAGTAGCTTGCATTCACGCATGGCGATGATGTTTGGCTCCCACTGAACGAGCTGAGCCTTGCTGACGGTCGATGCGCAGCACCTTCATCCCACCACGGCAATGTTCGAACTTGTCCTTCGGCAATGGCTTCGTCATCGCGTCGGCGATCATGTCGTCGGTGCCAACATGGCGAATCCGTAGCTGCTCGTCCTCCACAAGGTGGCGCACCAAGTGAAACTTGTTCATAATGTGCTTGTTCTTGCTGTGCTTGCCAGGCTTGGCAGTCAGATAGATGCACGACTTGTTGTCGCTGATAATCTCCGGAGTCGCGAACTCCTAGCATAGTTCTTCACAGAGTCCACGTAGCCACTGTAGATCTCTAGTGCCTTCATTCATGGCAATATACTCGACTTCCGCTGTGCTCTGTGCGTTAATCTCTTGCTTTCTTGATCCGTACGAAACCACGTTACCATTGACGAACGTCACGAACCCGCTAGCACTCTTTCGGTCATCAGGGTCATTAGCGTAGTCAGCATCGGTGTAACACGTCAGCTTGACGTCGTTCCCAATAACAATGTCCATCACTAAGCCGTGGTCTTGAGTACCACTCAGGTAGCGTAGCACCCTCTTTCCCATAGCGTAGTGTGTGTGGTCGAAGCAGGACAGGTACTTGCTGAGATTACGCACAGCGTGCGCAATGTCCGGCCTTGAGGCTGAGACCAGATATTGTAGTGCACCAACGAGCTCTCGGTACGGGGGCGGGGAGTCATCTTTCGCATTTGTGACCACCTCAGCGCGCAGCGCTTCCGGTGTTGCAACCGCGTTGCAACCCTCCATGTGAAATCGCTTTAGCACCTCCGTAATATGTTGCCGCTGGCAAAATACCGCATGTCGACGCTCGCTGTCGATCGGTATCTCCACGCCTAGTAGATACTTGACTGGTCCGAGAGATGTGAGTTCATACTCCTCACTGAGTTGCTTAGCAGCCTTAGCGCAAAGGTCACTAGGGCCGAGGAGCAGTAGGTCGTCGACGTACACCGTGAGCAACATGGTGACTTCTCCTCCCACTTTCCTGGCGTAGAGTCCGTAGTCAGAGTCGAGGCGCTCGAGTCCGATCTTCGTCAGGAACTTGTGCAATGTTTTGTTCCAAACGCGAGGCGCTTGCTTTAGCCCAAACAAACTCTTCTGTAGCTTGCATACGTAGCGCGTAGAGTCTTCTCCGAAGCCTGGAGGCTGCTCCATGTAGACCTCCTCGTCGAGATCACCGTACAAGAACGCGGTCTTGACGTCGAACTGCAAGATGGCCCATCCGCGTTGCAGCGCGTATACGATCACGCATCTGATCGTCTCAAATCTGATAACAGGTGCGTATGTTTCACTGTAGTCGATGCCCATGCGTTGTAGAAAACCTCTGATCACTAGTCGAGCCTTATATCGCTTGATCCGGCCCGTAGAGTCTCTCTTGAGCGCGTACACCCACTTGCACGAAATAACACGCTTGCCCTTGGCCTCCGTGCGTCGCACGAGCACCCAAGTTTCGTGCTGCTGCTGTGAGTCCATCTCAACTTGCATCGCTGCTTTCCACTCCTTCCACTTCTTTGACCTTGCCGCATGCTTGTGACTAATGGGGATCTGCACATCCTCGACGTTCTGCTTCGTCACATTCGTCACTACGTAGTCCTTGAGTCGGGCGGATGGTTGTCGCTTCCGCTTCGGTCGCGACGTAGCTGCACTGTCGTCTGGCGACGACTTCTGCGTCGTGCATGGCTCCCAGTTCTCGTCTTCGTGAGCATCACGTCGACTGTCCTTGGCCTTCGAGGCTCCCACTCGATTTGCACATGCTTTCGCTTTATTCTTGCCTTTTGTGTTCTTCCGCTTGGAACCTCCCACTGAAGCTGCTGGCTTCTTAGCGTCCTCGCTTGGTAGCTGTGGGTCATCACTTCGAGTCGCAGACTCGGCTTCAACTTCAACACCTTGGTCATGGCTCTCACCAGCAGTGGCCAGCTTCGCCATCTCCGCTGCTCGCCTTTCTGCAAGCTCTGCAGAAGGCTGCAGGTACGTAGACATTGTCGTCCGGATCGGCACGATCGGGATCTCCGCAGGTAAGTCGTAGTCTCCGTAAGCGTAGGTGTTTGCAAGAAGTTGCTCAATATACACAGTGTTTACCGTGTACTTCTCATGTGCCTTCATGTTTCCATCTCTGCACGTCGTCACTGATCCTGTGCGCAGGTTCAGCAGCTTATAGCCCTTGGTCTTCTCGCTGTAGCCAAGTAGTAAGCACAACTGCGTCCTTGGAGTGAGCTTCTCCTTTCTCTGCCGAGAATCATCAGGGATGTGCGCGTGCACCAAGCACCCCCACGTGCGCAGCACGCTGAGGTCTGGCCGCTCTCCGTACAGGGCCTCGTACGGGGACTGCTGGTCCTTCAACACCGGCGTCGGCGTCTTGTTGAGCGTCTCAATTGCATGTAGGAAGGCTTCTCCCCATAATGAAACAGGCATTTGCGTAGCTTGTAACATAGATTTGACCGGCCGCATGGCGGTCTGGTTCGTGCGCTCCACGATAGCGTTCTCCTGCGGGCTGTAGGGATTGGATGAACGCGTGTCGATGCCGAGGTCCTTGCAGAAGGTCTCGAGCTGCATGTTGACGAACTCGCCACCACCATCGGAGAACAGCGTCTTGATGGTCGCCTTCGGGAACTGGTTCTGGATCCAGCGAATCTGCTTCTGAATCAGCTCCGTGGCTTCGTCTTTGTAGGCTAATAGATATCCCCACTTGTATCTCGTAGCTTCGTCGATAATCAATAGAAACTGGTTTGATTTCGATATTGTATCCACTCCAACACTGCATAGGTCGACACAAAGCTTGTGCAAGGGCTTTGCAGAGCGAGACGGCTTGCGCTTGTAGCTCATGCGCTTCGTCTTTGACTCTAAGCATGGAATGCATTCATAGAGAGCAAAATTCTTCGACTGCATGTTGATGCCAAAGTTATAGGTTCCTGCCATAGTCTTGATAGTCTCCATGTTTACGTGGCCCATGCGGTTGTGCAGCAACGTCATGGGGTTCTCAGCTTCACTGGCCTTGACGCTCATCACGTTCTTGCTCTGACGTGGCGTCCACATGCGGTACATCCCGCGGATGTACTTGAAGCGCAGCTTCAATGTGTCCTTGACCAGCCACGTAGTCTTCTGATCATGCGAGACGCGCACCTTGAAGTTTCCTTTGAATTGCATGTAGGTCTGCGAGATCAGGTTGTAGGCAGCCGACTTGGCGTAGCTCAGGAGAGGCTTTCCCACAATCCAGTACTAGTGTACTGTCCTTTAGAAAAGGAGGTTGATTATTAATAGTACTGTGTTTTCACCTTTAGGAGGCCTGGGTCCACTCCTCGGAGGAGTAGACCCAGGCCTCCTAAATCAAGACCACATTGGATGTATCGCTGTGGTTACACAATGCCGACAAGAGCGCGAGATTAAGTCCAAGGTGGAGGAGCCCTGAGTGGAAAAGTACAGTACAGTACACAATCTCGTGAGATAAAAACTTGTGGTGACCAAGGGTTTTTAGCAAAGCATCTACTGTACTATACCGGTACAGGGATATCCTGAAAGGATGTGCAGTAGCGGTATTATAATCCTTTACTGTACTTTTCTACTCCTGCAGGAGTCCTACATTACGCCGCATCGGGTGCGTCGCTCTGGTTGCACAATGGCGAGAGCGTGAGATTAAGTCTAAGTAGAAATACAACTCCAACAATTAAAAAACTTCCATTTCTGCGAATCGTACAGTAATCTGCTTGGTGCTCCCTCTACCCTTTTGAAGGGGTTCTGCAACAAACTTTCCTCTATTAATAGTAGAGGCATTGCGAATATCAGTGATATTATATCGTTCAAACGGGGATCTTCCAGCGCCACTTACTCGTACTTCGACTGAGCCAGTAAATACAAACCTTCCGTAAATGAAGTAGTTCAAAGATCGGACGAAGCGCCTGCCCACCCAGCACACGTACAGGTTAGAGCCCCACCATCGGAGAAGTCCTCGACCAGTCGACACCCCCTTAGT